ACAGTTGCTCAACGAAGTTAATGGTTAAGGTTGAGTAATACCTTGAATTGATTAAAGTAAGAAATAACACTGTTGGATGCCGACTCAGTGGTCAAGAGCCTATGCCTTCGCTTGCGCAAGACTGAAGGTCCTGCTCACTGCTGATGAGTCCCACACCAGGATGAGACAGCTGTCCAGTGATTCCAGGTTTCTAATGGTAGTCTGAAAAAGATCAATTCACGATTTCAATGAATAAATGGAAATGTATGAAAAGTATCTAACATATGATAATCGATACGACTAAAGTTAGTGAACAAAAAACTACATATATTTGTAAACACAGCCTTTTAAGGGATTTTCTTCACAAACTATTTTCATTTTTGCAGTTTAGATAATGAAAGATTCTGGATTTAAACCTTAACGGGGTTGTGCGCTCGTACTACTAAAGAATCCTTTATTAAAATGAAATGGCTGGCTTATGTGCAACCTGGGCACTGCAAATAATGTAAATCTATGGACAATAACAAATTTTAATTTGTTTTTCTCTAGCTTTGATCATATCAACTGTTATATGTTAGACGCCCTTATATTTCGATTTATTGGTGCATTTCCTCTTTTACCTACTTGATATATATCAATATGCATTGCAAAATTTTAATTATTTTTAGTCAGGAATTCCTTGTAAATTTATTAACATCTGTATTACTAAACCAACTTCACTAATGATCTCTAGAAAAAATGAGCCCCGCCTTATCAAGATAGTTTCAAGATTTAAAAAATGTAAGCAAGATTAAAATCTTGAAATATGATCAGTAGTTTTAGTTATTCCTATAGATCGGATGTTTGGACCCTTCATATTGATGTTTTCTCAAGACTGCAATCGGTCAGTCTTTTTTCTTTTCTGCTTACGCTAGTAATAATAGCTGTTTCAAAAATATAAATTCTTTGGTGACCGTTTGTAGGAAACTTATCATATAATTATTTATTTCATATTTGGTTGTATGAGACATTAATTATACTTATCTGTTCATAGAAATATACATGGATAGATTAAATCTGTGCTAATATGATTTATGTATGCACACTACCAAGTAGTATACCGACACAATATATATATATATATATATATATATATATATATATATATAATATATATAGGTATAGTTCTTAACAAAGTTTCCTGCTTCATTCATTCAGCAGTTTTCTGACAAACTGCTTCATGCGTCATATTAGAAAATTTCTAATATGATATAGTCTACTTTAAGTAGTAGGTAACAAATCAAGAGAAACAGATATGTTTTATTGTGGGAGCAAAATATTTTCAACTAAAAGACTATACGCACGTTTATATACATATTTGATACTAGTTGATTAGGCAAAACTACTTAGTTAAGTAAACAATTAAACAGTAAACAAACAAGAAATACCAAAATTGAATTTCCAAGTGATTTTTAACAAAAGTTCATAGTTTCAACAAACCAAATTAATCAATGAAAATACTTAGGTATAAGATTAAGTTATTTCAATTGATGGATAAATTGTACAGTTTCAAAGTATTGATTATAACCATACCATCGTTTCTTATTAGGACAAAATCTTTCAAGATAGTAGTATCACAGCGCGCTATTACTGTGAATAATTAGTTTTCTAAGTAACTAAATAGATTATTACTACATTGACATATCTATTTCGTTACTATTTGATGCTGACTGAGTTAAGTTTCGGAGAGTACGATTAGTAATTTTTGTAGTATGAATTCAGTTCAGTTATTTTATATGCCTCAATAATATGTATGCATTGAAACTTGATAATGGCAATATAAATGGTAGATAAGTGAATGCTGATGACTATCCAACTTTTCCTAAAAACTTGTGATGAATACTTATCATTGAAGTAATTCATTCAGAGTGCATATTTATCAAATAAGACTAATCAGTTGCAGTCCGGTACACATCAACAATGGGGAGATACAAGCCCTTTCAAATAATGAATATAATAGTGATAATGATGATAGTAATAATTGTAGAATCTAAAACACTTCACACGCTAGATTTAATCTTGTGATAGATTCTTTCTCCTAAATTTTCTCTCCGTTGACTATTTATAGATTATTATTATTATTATCCATTTTATGCCACAGAGATTTTCTCAACGTTTTGGACGTGTGAACTTCTTAATTTCTTGCTAAACTACGTTCATAAGTTTACGTAAATATTTTCATTCTTTCATGGAAAAATAGCAAGAGGGAGGGATTTCGTAGTATCAGTGTTTTTTTCGATTTATTTTGTATCCGTTAAGATTTTTTCCAATACTTAGCTACTTTCCCATCAAGAATTCACCTGTTTATGAATGAAGTATGTTTTGACTGCTTGGTTAGAGGTTTATTTATATTTGATATTAAAATTTTTTGATTGAAAACAATGCTTGTTTTATGGGTTGTTGAGGGAGATTATTTTCCGTCACTTGTATGTTTTTCTTAAAAGATTGCAAAGAACTTACCCGATATTTCGGCTACTTTAGTCTCACAGAAACCAATGTAAACCAGCGTAAAAATAATCGATTTTCGTGGGTTCTCGTTTATAGATATCAATACATACTACTTGGATTTTTATAAGTAAGCAAGCTTGAAGTATTAAAAATACACGGATCCGAATAAATATTTTGATGGATTGAATAGATTCAGATAATGCGGAATAACTTATGCAGGAACAGAGAGGGAAATTTCACCATGAATTCAATAAGAGTTGTATAGTCCATCTATGTTTTAGTTAAAAGATTATAGTCTTCATCAAAATTATTTATACTCGGAAAATTTTAAAGGCATCAGCTTCAACAAATGTATGTACAAAACATGACTGTGTGTTAAGTGTCTATTGATTATGTTTGAGTTTGAATAACGTTAGGATAATTTAAAACTCACATTCAAATTTCATTTATTTGAGTTTCTCAAGCAATTTAGGCGTATGTAGTTTGGTTTACTGTCTTACTCTAAGTTATTTCAGACCATAGCATACAAAAACTATGGTTGCATTCTTCTGAAATATTCCAAAAGAGAGTAAAGTAAATAGTTCAAAATGTTAAGTTTTCTAACTGCGATATGATCATGCTGTACCGTTTCTACTTGGAAACGGCAAGACCTTGAAATCCAAACACATCTGGTTAAAATCTATTATTAAAGAAGTAGTTAAACTTGGTAAGGTGTGATAATTTTTTGTATATCAGATATACTGTATAAAAGAAGAGTATTTTCTCAGTGGAAACATTATTTCAAGAGTAGAATAGTTTGTTTTCGACCATTCTATCGGATTTCAAATAGTCTGTCAGCAGTTTATCATATTTGTGCACAAATTCATTAAAATGGTTGACGAAAGAACTTGATCCAATAATGATCTTGAAACTAAACTTGCGAAAAATGCTGACCATGTTAAGTAACTACGCAAGTGATGGTTGACTACTAATCAAAACATGTCATAAAATATTTTAGTGAAGTGTTGAGTATAAACAAATGAAAGGGAAACAATTTCATTATTTGATTTTGTATAAAGTCTATATTAGATAATGAATGCGATGAGGTATGATTTTATTGTTTGACTATATTATTTATATTTAATATGATGACACAAAAATTATTTTCTTATCAGCCCTAAACTTCATGTAAAGATTATTTCCTATGATAATTTTCTTTCTGACTGTTACTACTTAACAATTTTGACTTGAAACACTAAAAAGTCACTATCTTGATGCTGATTATGTAGACAGTATAGCCGAATCTTACCCTAACTTCGTATGAACTTCTGAAGGAATCCTATTTCGAATTTATGAGAAAAATAGTTATGATAGATTTCGAAATTCCCTTGGTAGATAATAGTTACTCAGATACAGAGAAATCAGAGCACATTTTATGAATGAGACCACCTAGTTCATCTGATAATTCAACTGATGCTTATATATGGATAATGAGAATCAATACATTCAAATAAAATGTATTAAATACATTCGATGTTAATCCAAGTCAGATAAATGAATTAGGAATATAAATATTTGTCTTATATCAATGCAATTTAACCATTCAATATGTGTCTTCCCAGTGTATATCAGATTACTAATGCCTTAATTGCAACTTCGATTATTTCCACAAACGGGATTTGTAAGCTTTTTATTGGTTTGTTAACAAAACATTATTATAAGCTGTTGGTTTGTTGACTAAATGAAAACAATTGAAAGTTTGACACTAATGATGATATTTACTATGGTTGATAACATTTCATGATTTGGGAATAAATATTGCTTAATTAAATGGTATGTTAATGATATATGAAACTGATTTTTTTCCTAATAGTCTATGAAATGTACACACATCTTAAGAAGGATTACTGATATTATAATATTGGGAAATATTTGTTCATACAGTAAAGTAATTGAATTATTTGTGCACAAAACTGAAGATCCTGGGTTCGAATCCTGTGGGGTGCAGGAGTCGTGGATGCGCACTGCTGATGAGTCCCATACCAGGACGAAACGGCCGTTCAGTGCTTCCAGGTTTCTAATGGTGGTGTAACATTGATCGATTCATGGTTTCAAATGCGAATTGTTACTGCTAAATTCAACTCACTTTAATTTCTACGAATTTCGCTGTTAATCTTATCTGTAAATAAATCATGTATGGAGGTGGTGTATTCCTAAATCATTTTTATTTCATTTCGGGAGTCAAATAAAGATTTGTTATTGATCTCCTCTTCACTTTGTACCTTTACTTCTATGTTCTAGTTACCAGGTATGTGTAGTATGAGTCTTTTATGAGCGGCTAGAAAATTGAATTGAGCGTTAATTTAGCAGACTTAACAATTTCCTCATCAATCTCTGAAAAGTTATAGGTTAGCAAACAAAACAAACAACTTGTAGTTATCAGTTTATCATTTATGTAGTTTTTTTTTTCATTATAAAACAATAGAAATTTATTTTCTCTACACTCTCTCCTGAAATTTATTAAATATTTAAAATGTTATTTATCTGTTTAATAGTTTTTTCTGCCCTCCTCCTTGTGTGTATCTTCGTGGAGAAGGTTGGGGATTACATTCTGACCAAACATCACATTTTGAATCCAAATTAATCTCTAGTCGTGAAAATGTTGATCAGACAGAACTAATGAGTTATTCCACTAATAATGTTCGAACATATTCTTTGCAAAATAATAATAATAATAATAATAACAATTCATCAAGTTCATTAGTTACATCTACTCCAGGACCTTTAACATCATCTCCATTCACAACAGAACAATCTCAGGTGAGTGATGAACTTAATTTTTCTTTTGAGTAAAATGTAAAAATATAAAAAATTAAAATATATTTACTTTGATTTTAGTTTTGCATTTGTTCTAAATAATTTGGATGATTAGGTTCTGTAATTTAATTAGAATTTCACTACTTTAGCGATAAGTTATCTAATCGAATATTGAAAAATGCCGATTCTTGTTATTAGTTAATTGCTTATTTTCCAACAAAGATCATGGTATTAAAAAAAACATAAGAATCCTGCTCTAAAGTTATTTGAAGAAAATATTGTTATAGCCTTTTAGATCAGTCTTATTATCCAATGAAAAGGGATTTTGTTTGATATAAATTATAGAAAGTTTGAAAAATTTGAATATAATTAATCATTGACACCTTGAACGAATTTTTTCCTTTATTGTAATTAAATAAACAAACTGTTTGTCTATTCAATCTGTGCTTTTAAATAAATGAATTAATTAGCGATTTATTTGAAAGATACATGTAACGATGTAGTTTTGAATCAATTAACAGTAATAGGTAGAATGAAAGAAAAGTCTCATAATGTTACAATTAAAACAATGAATTCATACATTCTGTCTAAATATTAATATGTCTCAGAATCAGCTGTAAATTCAGTGACGATGAACAAGTATGAAAGAGATGGCTTTTCTTTTAACTATCTTATTCTAACTCTAATAGCTAAATAGTTACAAGAATATATATATATATATATATATATATATATATAACGAAGTGTTAAATACTATATATTATTTCAATCTAACCAGTCACAACCTATTCAAATTCGTCGTTTCAAACATGAGTTCTTTAGTAGTACAAAATATTATGCTTATGGTCAGATGATATTATCAGCGCAGAAACTTCTATTCACCGATCTATGGTATGCCTAATAAACTTTAAAAATTCTTTTTTTTAAACGGAAAAGTATGTGAAAAATTTTAAACAGTTGAAGACTAATTAATGTTGGAGAAAAAAGCAGAAAAGTAAATTGTACCAAAAAGTGTTTGTGATTTACACCAAAACTTATTAAGGAATTAAGTGTTTATTGGAAAAAAATGACCAAACGAATATATAATCAAACCTTGATTTATTGTGACAAAATTCCAGTATATTTGTTATAGCTATAGAATCTAGAACGGTTATTTCGTTCTATATGGAACCTACATTTCGTTGTAGATGTTCACAGTGAGACTACACTGAAGTAATTTTCACTTTAAATGCAGTCCTGATTATGAACAGTGGAAAATTGTAAACCAATACAGAGAAAAAAGCTAATTAAATGTATTAGTCTACCTTAGATATCAGGAGTACGCTGGTAGTTAAGAAGTAATAGAATTGTGTAGGAAATATAATAAGTTAGGGATTAGTGAGAATCGTTGATAAACCTGTAAAATGTTACTTGAATGTTGCTAAAAATTTTTTAGTTAACAAAATAATCTTAGTATCAAGATTTTATCATTGAAAACTAGGTACCAGTAGAAAAAGTTATTGTATTGTAACTTGAAAATATCCGCTATAAAACTGAATTTAAAGTTAACTGACTTGTCATTGGTGTTTGTTTGGAATAAAATGTTTAATGTTGAATGCTATACAATAATTTATGAAATGTATTCTATTTCAAATGTATTTATGGTAACTTGTCTTCTTTTTTCAAGTGAATTAATCTGGATAATTAAAATAACTTTTTAAATTCACTTGGGATGAAGTCTTGTATGGCAACCTGAACTGATGTACTTACGTACTGAGTTCTGCGTTGTATCTGTCTATCTGTCTGTCTGTCTGGGATTAAGTCTGGTATTTAATATAACACCATAGATACTCACCTTAGAAGATAAGATTTGATGAACAAGTTTTTTTATATTCTTATTACTGCAACTAACAAAGGGTCCTACCCTACCCTACCTGCTCACTGCCTTCTCGTGGTGAGGGTGTTTAGGAAATTTTAAGGATGAAAGGCAAATGTCCGACGGAGGCTTAAACAGGGTTACTAGGTACGAAAAATCCACTTTGGAGAGTTGGAAAATCCTAATTCCTAACCGATGGTGCACATATGCTCAGGATCTTGAGGGAATAAATAGCATATAAATCTATAGTTGGTCATCGGCAACCATGAAACTACATCTGACAATGCTCCAATGCCCTGTAAATTAGACGTTTGAGTCGAAGGATCGGGTTATGGAATCGCTGAGAAACCCACTTACTTTAGTTTAGACAGTTGGAAAGTATCCCAAGCTATTCAAAAATTCAATAGTTTGCATGGTGCATAAATATTTAGGTGTTATCTCATACCAATAATTATGTGTATAAATAAAATAAAATAAAATGAAAACGAATGTTATGCATTAATAGAAGTGTGTTAAAGCTTCACAAAGTGGAGATTACTTATGAACATAATTATCTGGGATAGTTAATTTGTATCATTGTACATACAATTCAATAAATGTTCCTGACATTTTATTTAGAGTGGTTAATTTTCATGATATCATATTATTATAGAAATAAATTTTATGTTCAAGACAATAAAAATAATAATAATAATAATAATAATAATGGTATTCTGATTTGTTTTAATCTTTTTTCTTATTTAGGTACTTGCTTTTATGGGTATTGGTGGATCAACTACTCCAGTTGAAATGATTCAATTAAATTTAGATGATGGAAAAGACTATTCAAATGCTAAAACATTATTTATTTCCGATTCAGATAAACGAAAATATTTTATGTTAACATTGAAAATGTTTTATAAAAATGGTAAAGATTTAGGACAATTTTATTCAAGACGTATTAAAGTTATTTCAAAACCAAGTAAAAAGAAACAATCATTAAAAAATACTGATTGTAAGTAGAATTATTATTTTCTGCCTTTTTTCATACTTCATTTGTACTCATTAAACTGTTAAATAATTAAATGTTCCATTGAAAGAGTTTTTTGTAGAGACTGATCAAATTTTGTAGGTTTTATTCATCATAAATTGATCTTAACAAAACTGCTTCAATTAAATTGATGATATATCAGTATGAACATAAAATAATCTTTTGTGTTTTCTAGTATAAATTCTCCAAAAAAAGAGTAATCACAAACCCCAATACATTGAATTAATTTGCATGTTTTATCTTTCATAGACTAAATTGCAGTTTGGGTACCATTGAAAACCAGATAGCACTAAACCGTTGTTTCATTCAAGTACTAGACTTCTCTTTAGCTACCTGCTTACAACTCAAAGCAATAATAAGTATCAATCATTAAAACCAAACAAAAGTACATACTTTTTTATCGGAAATTTCGGAAACAAACTAGGTTAATATAGTCATGGCTGTGAGCTATAGTGATTATTTATGCCTTGCTGATACTTAGAAAATATTTTGGCTTTTATCAATGTCCAACATGTTCCAAAGCTCACTTATTAGCTTAAATCACCTAATCAGGTTATTTATTTAATTTTTCAGAGTTTAGTTTCATGTTTCAAAGCTTGATCTATATGTTTGCATATCTTTTATAGTACATATACCTATCACTGTTTAATAGGCCAAATAGGTAGATTTTCGGATTATTTCGAGTTCGTTCAAGGATTTTTTCTGAATGGATAATATCTATTGCGATCCTAGCATAATTAAAACAAGTTTTTTTTTTTGTAGGGGAAATAATAGTATTTATTACTTCAAATATGTTCATTATTTCTTCAGAATGATGATTTTCAAAATGAACTGACATATCAAATGGTGTATGCCAGGAGGTATTTATTAAGTAGACTATTTCATACTACTTTAAAACCCCTTTACAACAACTGATGTAATCATGTGACTGACATTTGAGTTTAACAATCAACTCCATCATATTCAACTAATGAAATAAATTCATTACTATAAACTGTTCCAAGTCGTCATGATCTGTAACAGTGCAAATAACATTTAATTAATTATCTTTTTCAGAAGTTTTAATATTAAATATATTTCTATGCATATTGGTTATTGCATTATAAACAATTTCTTGTTCCTCTCTATCTATATTGGATAACCAAAATCATGTCAATCAAACTATGTATGATGCAACTATGATGCATATAATGATTAGGAATCAATGTGTTTGACAACTGTGAAGAGTTTATTTTAGTGTATTCATTAATTTATTGAATCTTGTAATCAATATTAGTTAATATTTTAAATATATTTTACTTTCAATATAGTATGTATTGCATCTGGTACAAAGATAGCTTTATTCAATAGACTACGTTCACAAACTGTCAGTACACGGTATTTACATGTTGAAGATTCTAGTTTTCATGCAAGTTCAAGTCGTTGGGGTTCATTTACAATCAATCTACTAGCTGATGATCAAGATGAAGCTGAACAATTCACTGTACAAGATGGTTATATACATTATGGTCATACAGTGAAATTAGTTTGTTCGGAAACTGGTATGGCATTGCCTCGTTTAGTAAGTTATATATATGTATGTAAAGTTTTATTGTATGAACCTACAGTAATTTTTAATTACAAATAGCTCGGGTTTTAATGTGAGCAGAATTTAGTGCAAACTGAGCAATCGATACACTATGCTTTAGTGATTATACTCAACGTGATGAAAGATAGGAAGAAGTTAGGAATTCAGAATAGTTGAGACTTTTGACGAATGTGGTTGTGAATCGGAACAATGCCGACTTTGGAACATGATGAAATTGACAAACGTAAACTGAAAAAAATCAATCAAACTACTGCAAAGTTCCGTTGGGAGATATGAATTGAAAACTAGTTATCACAGCTATTCTTATAAAAAAAAAGCTAACATCTAGTAACAAAAAAAATTACTAGTTATGGTGACGTCTTCTTATCAATATATCAGTCACTTGTGAAGTATAGGTTTCAATGTTTCTAACAAGTATTTCGACAATAGTAATGTATTCCCTTGTCTTCAGTGAAATCCACTAGTGAATACTAAATTCTCTGATTCAATATGCTCATCTTATAATGTAAATAAAATTTAAACATCTTTAGTTTATTAGATATGTTAGTCATTGAAACAGTAGTATTGTATACTGAATACTAACTAATATGTTATATACAACTTACTTCAGATATTCTAATGATTGATACTTTCAGTGTATAGTGTAACCTACAGATTTAATTAAATATGTTTAGCAGGTACATGACCAACAACTTTTTGTTTTGATTCTAAAAGAAAACTTATCTCAAAAGGTAGGTAGACTATTATTAGAAATCGGTTACAAAAAATCATTCTTGTGGTTAATGACTCTTACCAAATTTTTACTGATAACTAAAATTGTAAACTTGATAGACTAATTTCACTGTAGACAAATTATGTGCCTTTACAAACAACGAATAACTTAAATGCCATCTCAAGGTCAAGCAGTATGTTAGAGGTCATTTGTGCACTTAAACAAATTCTTGGCTTACATCTTGCTTAGTTCAGAAGGACAAATGTATGCATACCTTATCATCGGTGTATATTGGAATATGGTCTCGGCAATAATAATACCCCACTACTTAGTTCAATTTTTACATTTGTGAAGTAAGTTCGATATACCGTAGGAAGCATACATCGTAAATGAATCAAACTATAGCAAAACTGTTTTACCACAACCACTCAAATAACTTTATTGATAATCAAAAGAAAGTAATAATTATAAAATTAATCTTCAATCTCATTGCATTATTCCTCTATTCGCATATATACATATATATTTATTTCGTTTTTTTAAAGATTGTACGAAAAGTAGACAAAACAACTGTTCTATTAGATGCTGACGATCCAGTTAGTCAACTTCATAAATGTGCATTTCATTTAAAAGATACAGACAGAATGTATTTATGTCTTTCACAAGATAAAATTGTTCAATTACCATCTACACCATGTGAAGAAAATCCTTTACGTGAGAAAATCAATGATGCTGCAGCATGGACAATTATTAGTACAGATAAAGCAGAATATCGTTGGTTTGAACCGAGTCATTTACCAACTACATATAGAACAATCGATGGACAAATTAAATCAATCAAACCGCCTACATCATGTTTAACACCAATTACACCTGTACCAATTGTACGAGATATGCGAGTAAATGGTGGTGGTGATGTTGCAATGCTTGAAATAATTGGTGAAAATTTCAGTCCTAGGCATCAAGTATGGTTTGGTGATGTACCAGCGCAAACATTTTATCGTTGTGAAGAATTAATACTATGTTTTGTACCAGATATATCAGAGTTTCACAAAGATTGGACATATATTCAAAAAACTTTAGAGGTAAATAGAAAAAATCGAGAATTTTATTGTTTTCAATGAATTAATTATTCTAGACTAGTTTCCAAAATTATTTCGTCACTGTTTATACATGCAAACAATATCTATGTGTATGCAATGTATTCGATTATTAGTATTTTTAAAACAATAAGACCATTTATTAAATTGCTGATAACAAACAGAGTCGGTGGTACATATCTTGACAATTGAAATGGTTATTGTGTTTTTCAATATTGATGCATTGTATAATTGAAATATAACGTCACAGTAACTTGATTTGAATCATATGATTAAAGTTCATGAGAAATATAATTATGTTCTATGTAGATGATAGATCCTATAATTATATATACCATACTTGTTGTGATTATCTGACTATATAGATTTCCAGATTGTGTGAATATGAAACAAACAGTTTGTCACTTTAGTTACTTGTGTAGTCAGTTAGATCCATTGAATTGATGAAATCACTATTGGAACGATAAGCACTTAAATCTTTTAATTTTCATGATACATTATCGAAGTATCTAATTTTAATTACTGTTTAATATTTCTATACAGAATTTAATTATTTCATCTATTCAACTGAATGATAAGTTATCTACATAAATTAGACATCAATGTATTTGTTTCAGATTTAACCAATGACAGTTAGCTTAGAAAAATTCTGTACATTCAATATTTTGTCAACCATTTTTTGTGTGAACTATTTTTACTCATTTTTCTGTTTGGTAGTTTTCTTTCTAACCTATGTCGGTCAGATCGGTGAAATTTAATAATTTGATCAATATATTTCATATAGTTATGGCAAGTAAATAATTAGATTCCAAAAGATTATCTTTATGTTAATAATGTTGAGAAAAATGTGCTTTTGATTTCATGCACTTACTCTGTCGTACCAAGCTGTATTGTTTACTACTACAATGAATAAGATTATTAGTTGATTCACTAGATAGGATCAGATGACGCGAACACCGTCCAACGGACAAATGAGTACTGTTTATAAGTCAGACAGTGCCAGCGGTCAATACAGTGAAATTCAAAGTAGAGTGAATTTACAATACCATATAGTCTTATCTATTTAACCTCACCAGATATATGATTAATTGCACTCATGATCATCTTGAACATCTACATTGAATTTCATTTTTGTTTTTATACTTTTTATCATCAAAAGAGAGAAATTATTTGATGTTAGTTAGAATCAAGAGTGTTTTCTTTCCAAGTTCTTGCATGAGCGTGTTTGCTGTAACTCTGTGTAATTTGGTTAAAAAAAATGATTACAACTTAGTTCTATTTCTAAGTGTTTTCATATTCTCGAAAGAATACAGCATGTGTAACCAGTGTTGAATAGTAATTAATTTAAGAAACGCTTGTGACTATTCAAATAATTGTAGTTTTCAGTATACTGAGTAACCCTAGTAGGTTTGGGTTCAATAGTTGATTGTTTTTCAGTTTCAGTTATCCTACAGATTCACACATTGTACGTCGACAGTTATTCTCATCAGTGACAAATTATTACATCCAAAGATGAATAGTTTATTTTTATGATATATTTTTCCTCTCTACAATTTATTATTTATCCAGGTTCCAATTAGTTTAGTCCGACAAGATGGTATTATTTACGCTAGTGGATTAACATTCACTTATCATCCAGAATCTGGACCAAGACAACATTGTCAACCAGCTCTTGAAATTATACGTGCAGCAAGTATTGCTGCTGCTGCAGCCGCAGCAGCTGCTTCATCAAATTCATTATCAACATCAGGAAAATTATTATTAGAACCTTCTTGTTCTTCTAGATCAGGTGCAGTATCATCCACAACAATTGAATGCAATAATATTATACAACAACAATCATCTGAATTTAATTTATCTCAACATCAAAAAGATTCAATGTGCCTTGATAATAATTCATTTCTTGCTTCAGTATCATCATCTCAAATGATAAATAGATTAAATAATTGTAATAGTAATAATAATAATAATAATACTAATGATTATTATGAAGATGGTACTTTCGATCAACAGAATAACCATTCACATCAACATCAGTTACAACAACATCATTATACTGTTGACTCTCAGGAACATCATAGGCTAAAAAATAATATGAATAATAATTCAAACTCTTTGACTACAACAGATCGTCTATTTTATATTCCAGTAAATACAAGTTGAACTTTTCATGTATTAGATAATAAGAATATACTTTTCATCTTCATACAACAAAATAATAAATTTGATTTCAACGAAAAGTCTTTCCTTTATGCACACTTCCTTCGTTTCGGTTATTTGTTGAACTTATTAAACAAACAAAAAAAACAAAACAAATAGAACCATAAACTTATGTTGATTTGCACTTTTACCCCATTTCATTTTGAACTTGTTTTTATGTTATTATGAAACCTTGAACATTAACACTGTTGTTACATTTTATGAATTTCACTATCTCTCTCTCTCTATACGCACGTATCCATGACTTTTTGGTTGTATTTAATCGTTCTTTTCTACATCTCTTTTCTTAACAGTTTATTTCATCTTTTGTTTATCCCTATACATAAATTCTGTTTGAAATGGAACGAAATAACTACTGTTCACCATTTCCTGTTTTTTTCTGTTCAATTGATTTCACATGCTCGCTTTTTTTTTGTAAGTAAATTATATTCAGTTTTCTTGTTTTGTTTTTTAATTTCTCATTAGAAATAAAGTTTATGTACAGTTAAGAAAAGCCTTTTTCTGAAGCAAAACTACAGTGAATTCATTATATTTTTATTGAAATTTAAAGATCGGCCAATTGAATATTTACCGATAAAAAAAAATTAGAATACTTGTAGACGTTTTATTTTTAATTTTTTTAAAGCCTATTCATTCAAATCTAAAAAATTTTTAAACATAACACAGTTTTCTATTGTCACATAGTACTTTTTATGCTACTAATCATTTACAAACAATGCAACAGAACTTACTACAACTAGTAGTGATTTAGTTCAGTATAGGTTTTAAGCGATATTAACTTTACGTAGTATGTTACTCTGGCTAACAACGACTTTTCGAATTAGCTTCGAGTAAGCAGCAGATCAGTTGTTTGTTACATAAATAGAATATAAAGACGCCTGACCTACCATGACTATAAGTGCTTAGACAAATGCTACAATTTTGAATGGAATGTAATGTGACAACTAAAGTGAGATCGGTTTAAGGCGATTTAGATGTTCCTCAAAGATTTTGCAGTAGATTGTGAATTACGAAAATACTGTCAGTCAGTGAGTTACAACGTAGAACTTCGCACATGAACACATAAGTTCAGGTTGATATACCGCATCAGCACAGAGACGCAACTTTCACTTCAAATCCAACAGTGTTAGATATTACTCAAGAAGTATAATTCAGTGAGACAACTTTAAAAAGAGAAAGAGATGATGAGGAATTCAGAAGGTTAGAATTTGAGAGGACACAATGAATTAATGCACTTGATACATTGCAAACGATTCTGAGCCATGTCGTTCAAGCTCTCTAACTATCGGTGACTTTCGTCTCGCGGACCCCAACCAGGTAGTCTACATCTACCAACATGACTCAGTCCACTTGTCAGTGACTTCATGGATTCTGCCATGTTTTGCTTTGGCCACCCCTAACTTTCTTCCAACCTACTCCTACACCACAAAACATAGCTTTTCGAGGCAGTCGGTGGTTGGGCATTCGTAACACATGTCCCAACCACCTCAACTGATGAAGTTTCAATACTTCATCTACTGATCTGTCATCCTCACCTAGTACCCGTTTCCTAACGGTAGCATTGCTTATTCGATTTTCCCATGATATACGAGCAATGCCTCGGAGACATCTATAATCGAATAATAGTAACCTGTTGATGTCCTCTACTCTCACCGGCCATGTTTCGCATCCGTATAGTAGGACAGAGCGAACTGCTGCGCAGTTAACAAGCGGATATCTCGCCTGCGCCATAAATGACGCAGGTTGACAAAAGCCAGTCGAACCTCCTGTATCCGTGTTGAGATTTCGTCAGTCACCAGCACTAATCGGACTTTCGAGATAAGTGATGCGGTTAACACGCTCAACTGTTTCATTCCCTATCACTAGTTTAGGTGCCGCTGCAACCCGATCCTGAAGTAACATTTTTCATTTCGAGGGGGAAAACCGCATCCTGAACATGCACTGTTACTTCAGGTAGTTAGAAGAGTGCATTTTGTCAGTATCTTCACCGAATAGGACTATGTCATCAGCATACTCTAAATCAGCAAGCGTATCTCCTAGTAGAAGGTCCACTCCTGAAAAGTCAGACGAAGATAATGGTAACTGTAAAGCATATCTACGACAAGAATGGAGAGGGTGGACATCCCTGACGGACATCACTTGGAGAAATCAGTTGCAGTTAGCCATAAGCTCTCACTTGACCAAAGGTGTGCGAGTAGAGAGCCTGCATAAGGTTAATGTACTTCTTTGGTACACTTTTTAATCACAGACACTGACACAAATTATCATGATCGACAGGGTCAAATGCCGCCTTTATGTCAAGGAAGATAACGTCTAGTTCCCAGATTCTACCTAAGATTTCAATCAATCTAGCTGCTTGAAGTGGTCCACCATCCTTAAAATCTCAGGTGTCAATCTATAAGAATCCGCTGCTGTCCCTTGCTTCAGACTTCCGATCGCTTTCTCAATTTCACAAAGAGTCGGAGGATTTACATCGATTTGCCATTCAGGATGACTAAAAATCGTGGGCAACCGAAGTATGGCTGAAGGCAGGATGAACTGGTCCCTAATGTGTTCTACCCTTCGATTCAATCTCCTGGATTGAGAATGAATAGTAGGACAATCCTTTTCTGAGATAATCTTACTTACAGTCGGATTCCTAATAGCGGTTTTCTTGATGGGTCTGAATAGTTGTGTATCGTTGCCCATCGCCGTTGCCTTTTCCTTGCTTTCGCTACCCACCAGTGTTCGTGAACATTGCGTAGGCTTTTTCACAGCCTGCATCTAAGCTGATCCCGCTCCTCATCGCACTCAGAGCCAGAAGGGATGTGCTTTCGAGCGTACATCAGTTTGGTGGATGCCACTGAGATCCACGGCTTCTTCCCAGCTTGATGGTTTACCTTACTAGCAGATATCACTGCTATTTATTCATTTGAAAAAAACCCGACTTGATTAGTATAAAAAAGGTAAATATGCGTATTTATAATAAAACACAAGTCACTTAACATCGAGGGAGATTTTGAAGGAAATTAATCATAAAATATACAGAAAAATAATAAAATTCTGACAATATAGATAAAAGTCAACAATCAAAATGAAAATTAAACCTGATTGAAAGTTTGTGCAATGAAGCTCATCGATAAGTTGGTACTTCGGGAAAACTAGAGATACGAATCTCATTAGATTTGATTCATCATATGATTTGATATAAAAGGATTGTTGTCACTGATTTTTCAATGAAAATATTATAAAATTTAAACAAAAATACATCTAAGGTGAGCATAACAAGAGGTGGAAATTAGTTAAAATAATTAAATTAATGATCCCAACAAAGAGATGAACAACTAAATCAAAATAATATAAGAATGTATTTGAGTAAACAGAAAGACAAATAGACAATACAAAACAAATGTGCAAGAAAACAAGAGAACACTATTTTCGTTTGATTAATTTGTTTAACAACTATGATACATCGTCGGATGACATTGAATCGTTGACAATGTCTGTAGTTTGAATTAAATGATTTTGAATATTCGACGTAGAACTAACCTGTTTTAATTTCATATGAACAAATAGAACACAAGTACCATGACTCATAACATTTACAACAGTACGTAACCGATCACTGAAACAAAAATCAAATGCATCATATAGATGAAATTTTAACAATTTATGAAGTAGTTTAAACAAGAAAATAAAACAAGTTTGGATGTTGCCTGTTGCGTAACCTGTCTGTTTAGATTTCTATCTGACGGAAGATTCTATTCATATTCAACTAATGGTGTTAACTTTAGTTTTACAATGACTAGGTGTTTAGATTATATAATAACACGTCAGTTAAATATTTTTTGCACTTTATCTCTTAATTATTGAACAGATTATTTCCCTCTTTATATGAGTTTATTTTCAACAGATAAATACTAGTCTGCGTCAACTACTTTGTTAAATATGTTGTGTTCGCATTCTGTTTGGAATTGCACTTTGTTAATTAAGGCATATCAATCATTTTTTTGAAATAGTAATATAATTAATTTCAACTTTGGGTCATTTCCAGTTAATGGAAAAGCTTTGAGATAAAATGAATTCATGTTATACTGCAAATTTTGTTCTTTTTACTTGAAATTTAAATTTATTAAAGGATTAGGAAAAATAAAATCAAAGTAAATTAACTTGAAAATTATTCAATGAGTTAATTCAATAATTAATTAAGAACACAAAGTATCACACTATCAATGATAATTGAAATGCAGTAACATTTTATTTAAACTGCAATTTCAACAATCTCATTCTGAATATCTTTGAATATTGTAGAAATAAATATATTAGTTAATAAAACGTTTAATACAACTCTCTACTTAACATTTCTTAATGATATTATTCAAATATACAAATGGTGTATAAAAAAAAATCCTAATCATATTCTGAGAAAATTACATTGAATCACATGTTTGTGTACAAGTATAGCGAGTTTATTTTGTTCGAACAATATTATCATATTATTCATAAATTATCACGAATTCATTTTAAAACCGATTCCAACTAATTTCAGGATAAATAAAATTGCCTTGCATTTTTACGAGAAACATGTGATGATTTTGGTCAATTAAATGAGGAAAAACAACAACAACAACACATTACGTTATTTAATTTATCCAAAAAAAGTGTTTATTTACTAAAAGGATAGGTTGCTAAGATATTGAGGAATAAATGAATTAACCAGCTAAAGACAGTTACAAAAACCAATGCGCTAAGATAAACTCTAGATTTCTAAAAAGTTCTCTAATTGATGATAGTTCGCGATGAAAAATAATTTAAAACTGGATATTTTCAACACACCGTTTTAACTTTCTAATTTACGTTCGTAAAGCTTACACCACAGGAGTTACTGATTAGTTTACTTAAATGTTATTTATTTACATGTGACACATTTTCCAGTTGAGTTATAAGTATAGTGTGACTACTGAATATGTAAAGCTTAGTAATGAGCGAATTATCGCATATAACGTTCTACATTTCATAGATTAAATGATACTTATATCAAGTCATCCTTTATAATGTTATATAAGTGTTCAATAGCTTATTTTAAAGTTTATCAAAGTCTTCGCTCTATGAAAGTCGAAACCCACATTGTGTGTTCCAAGACAATTTATTTTAACCCTTAATCTTACCCTTCGTATTAGTGAGTTATTATCCAAAACGGTTTTCACGTTGTGTACTGCATCATTATCTGTGTTCTCTTTATCTAATCATTTGTCTAGTCGACCTTTTGTTTTTCATACATAAGTGTTCTTAACAAGTATATGTGTGATCAGATTATTCGAAATATATTGCACAAATCTATAACATAATTCTAATAACTTTCGTCTTTACAACTGTATCAAAGTATACTGCATATTTATCAAAGGGACAAATTGTTTTAAATGGGAAAGTTTAATTTAAAAAAGGATGCCAGAAGATTAGGCAAAAACAACGACACAATACAACATATATTTGGCCTAAATAAGAGAATACAAGCCGATACATCAACGTGGCGCGGTAAACAGAAGTGAAGAAATATCAATTGTTTGCATGAAATCTCATTTTTGTGCTTGATTGATTATTTTTAATTCAGTGATACTATTTTAGTTAAATATTGTGTTATAAATAACGATTTATAACTAATAAATCACATAGTCAGTGCTGATATACTTAGAAATCGATTTGGTCATCATCTAGTCATGTTAAGGCATTTTTTGTTAGCTTGATCATCTTAGTCATCCCAGTATCATATCAGTTACCTAATGTTATCATGAAAGAAGTTTGTTAATTAGGAAGGATTCATAAATGAGTGGTAACCGTTGAAAGTTTTAATTCATTTGTATTGATTGTTTAAATATTCGCATTGATATTTTCGACTGCAATTGATCAATCTCTTTGGCATATGTGCATCTTGTGTGGATCGCCTCGATACTGCCTTCAGGTTACAAGCATTAATAGCAGAGGTGGATAGTGGTTAGCAGTGGAATCCCGGACAAATCTCAAATATAACGCAACTTGCATTCTGGATTCGATTGTTAGCCACTATTCACCTCTGTTAATAAAACATTTAAAATATTGTTGTAAAACAAGTTAATCGTAAACGACAATAATACATCAAAAATTTGTGTCAAATTCTCAATTGAACTAAAGTAAAACAAACTTATGATGAAAGAATTTTAATTATACTGCCAGTAATTGATTATTCAATAGACTTTTCTAATCTAAACAAGGATAACTAACTACATCTAAAAATTAATTAATGATAATGTCATAGAAATCACTTCATATTTTATGTGTAATTACAAGTTATGATATTACAAAATTAAAGAAAAAGAATGTATTATGTGGAATATAAAAGTTATTGGCATTATTTTGCTTTCTTCTTGAATTCACTAATGACCTACTAAAGAGATATTGATTTTTATGATACCAGCGGTAACATAATAATACACAAATGATGTTTAGATGTCTATGAAATTTTATTTTGTAAATAATGGATAAAAGTATTCAGACGATAATCTTCTCAGAAAAAGATGAAATATACAGGTTGTTTTCCTCAGTGAGTGTAATTACAACAATGAGGATGGACGATAATATAAGACGGTTATCAAAATTAAAGTGCGAAAATGATATCTGTCCAAATCGATATAGACAGAGTAGGATTCGAATTAGCAACTTATCGGTTGAAAGCTGAACACCTTAACCAATGAGTCAGAGCTTTACAATATTTTGTCATGGGCGTTTCTTTGTTCAGGAGTGAGAAGAATTTCTGAAGTAAAGTCCCGACTCTCCAGTATTTGATGGGAATAATGTTTAGTTTTCAGTTTACAAATAACTGATATTCATAGTTGTCACTAACATAGATTAATCATTACTCATAAATCTGGAATGAAGACATGCTTTCTAGATTATTCATCATACATTAGAACCTCAAATGACTAACAGTTATTACTATTAGATGCTAGATGAACTATCAAAAACGAGAAGCTTAACCATTACATTAAAGATCATGGTGGTCGTAGACAGAAAAATGAAATTAGAATTGGACACACACACAATAACAAAACTTTTAACACTTACGCAATAAACTCTGTGACGAACAGTAATGAAACAGCAGAATCAGAAACATCAAATGCACGTGTTATTAAAATAACAGTTATGATACTCGCGCTTGGAATCGCAGGCAATGCCATTACATTGACACCGGATAAGAACCTACATTTAGGAAGGCAAAACAAAAAACTGAGTATGACAAATGTAAATTAAAACTATGGGACAGAAAGAAAAGGTTAGGAATAGGATAAATGTCAAAAATCAGCTAGTTGGTTACAACGTAGAACTTCGTACATGAGCACAGAAGTTTAGGTTGCTATACCACATCAGCACAGAGACGCAACTGTCACTTCAAATCACACAGTGGTGGAAATAGTAGAAGTATTAGCTGTAATGGAGAAGATTAGCGATCGAAGATATTACTCAAGAAGTATGATTCAGTGAGGTAAATTTAGGAGAAAGATAGAGATGATGAGGAATCCAGAAGATTAGAATTTGAGAGGACACAACGAATTAATGCACCTGAGCCATTGCAAACGATTTTGAGCAATGTCGTTCAAGGTCTCTAACCATTGGTGACTTTCGTCTTGCGGACCCCAACCAGGTAGCCTACATCTACCAGCATGTCTCAGTCCACTTGTCAGTCACTTTATGGATTTCCGGCACTTTTTTCTTTGGCCGCGCCTAGCTTTATTCCAACCTACTCCTACACCACAAAACATAGTTTTTCGAGGCAGTCGGTGGTTGGGCATTCGTAACACATGTCCCAACCACCTCAACTGATGAAGTTTCAATACTTCATCAATTGATGTTCTATCCCTACCTAGTACTCGATTCCTAATGACAGCATTGCTCACTCGGTTGTCCCAGGATACACGAGCAATGCTTTGAAGACATCTATGATCGAAAACCAGTAACCTACGAATATCTTCTACTCTCATTGGCCATGTTTCACAGCCATAAAGTAGGACGGAGCGAACTGCTATGCAGTTGACACGACCTTTGGTTAGCGAACGGATATCTCGCCTGCGCCATAGGTGGCACAGGTAGGCAAAAGCCAATCGAGCTTTCTGTATGCATAAAAATGTCAAAAAATAAGACTGTTTGTTAGAGACATATAAACCCTTTAATATTTGTCATTAAAAAACATGGCAAAAGAGTTCATACATCTTGAGAAGACTTTTTTTACTCGAACACTATTTGGTATAATAAACCTTGTAGTAAATTGATTGAAATTATTAATCTTAAGTGATGTTCATGAGAGCTTCCTTCAATTTTATTTAAGTTAATCATACGAATAATTTCATAAAGTGTTTTTCTTTTAAGTTTGTCCAGATTGGTTTACCAGGAAATTCAGTTATCAATTTAGAAGACAAAGATGATACATTTCAGTTCAGTGAAGACTCTAACGAGTTCAGTCTTTTGATTGCACTGAGCAACGATTTGTAAGTGTTTAGTGTGCATTTATTTTTTTACTAATGTAAAATATCGGTTGTTGTTAGTGTAGGGTTCGTCACTAGGTACGCTTGAAGCTATTACGAGTTCACCTTAGTCGATAAACGCGAATGAGACAATTACCAGCGTCCAGATAGGCTACCATGAATCCCAAGCAGAAGATAAAAGGCTTTGTAAGCGTAGAAAGTATATTTCTACAAACACCCAGCAATCACAATACAATCAAGCATACAACTCTCGTTTATTTATACACCATAGAAACGTCCTTGGGACAGTCACAAAAATAGCACACCAAAATACACAGCAGCCAATCACAGCCATGGATTTTCCTGGTGGGAAATGAAATTTCAAGATCAAGTGATCAGCCCATGCTTGCAAACGTGAAATCCAAAATAAGGCATTTATCAAGCGAGTTTTGGGGATCTAACATCCCCAACAGTTAGTGCCTAAACTAATGATTAAGAGTGAAATTGTTGAATGCATTTTGTTGTTGACAAAATTTTAGCAGGGATTCACTTATTCACTTTCTTTATATTGTAAATTTCAAAATTGCTCTATTGATCAACTTCGTTTATTCTTTCCGATGACTAATCTTTTTTTATTATCAATGATACTAGTACTAATGCTTTTAATACTTTGGAACACATTTTGATAATTTCATTTTGTTATACCAGTTCAGTGTGGTTACTAGAGCTACATATTCTAAGTTTTCCACTTATTGTAATTAACTGACTGATTGTATTGTTATGAGTAAAATGATAAAACATGGACTCGCTAAAATTCAAAGGTGAATTGAAGCGAATTAACAAAATTGGATCTTGTAAATTAGGAAATAATTATATATGAGAAGAGAAAAGCATCATTTAATTACCAATGATTGTATAATCAAAGAGAAATTACTGTAAATAATTACTAAAGCTCTATCGAGAGTAACAAAACGAGCAATAATTGGATGCAAGTCCCAATAAGTGAATATAAAAGTACAAATTGGTTGGTAGGGGATCCTTTTTATTTCGCTTGGATACAAAATTACGAATACAAAAGTAAGCATTATGATCATTCATTTTAAGTAGAAGAGATTCAAGGACAAATGATTTTGATAGGTCACTATTTAGCCAGTAAATTTGTGTCCTAAATATCAGACTTACGTTATCTATGTAATTTACCATAAATATCTTATAGTATACTAGTGAAGATAATTGAGGAGGGATAGAATTTTCTAACGCAAAGTATCATATTTTTATATGATAGCATTTGAAGTTCTCTATTATTCTATAATTATAATGATCAAGATATGAAAGAAACAGTTAACAAGGGAAAAAAAGTGTACTTCTCTAAAACAGTGATTTGCAATGGTCTTGATTTATAAAATTAAGCTAAATAAATAATGGTAAAAAAGGTAATCCGTTTCAACATGGAAAATTTAGTTGTTGATTAGTATGATAACTTTATTTTCGTGTTAGATTTTATTGATTGATGTTGAATTTTAAGCTTAAAACCCCAGGTATGATTGAACTAAGTAAACAGAAATAGTTCATTATTACGGTTCATATAAACCGATAAAAGGAAAGATAATAAAATAATCACCAAAGTTGCTAAACATTAAGAATCAATAACTTGTTTGAAGTTTTACTACTTTTTCCATCAACTCAAGGTGCCATACTACATTAGTACACAGATATAGAATTAGTAGTGATAATACAAGTATTAGCAGTAATAGGAAAGACTAGAGTTCAAAGACATGACTTAAGAAGTATATCTCAATGAAACAAAGTTAAAGAGAAAAAAAGTCATGAGGGATTCCGAAAATTAGAATTTGAGGGAATAAAAAAATGGATACACCTGCGCCATTGCAAACGATTTTGAACCATGTCATTCAAAGTGTCTAACCATCGGTTACTATCATCTCGCGAACCCCAATCAAGTGGTTTACACTTACCAATATGATTCGATCCAGTTTTCAGTGACTATGGATTTGTGGCATGTTTTGGTTTGGCCGCCCCCAGCTTTCTTCAAGGCTGTTTATTTTAGGTTTATATTAAATGGTAGTACTGAAATGTGTTGCATCAATCCAGTTGATATGTACCTTGAATTTTTCTATACTGAAAGTCACAATACAGTCAAAGCTATGGTATTATTGCCAAAACATATAAGTCCAATGAATTATATTTATGGGTGGGAGAAAATCATTTAAGTTTCCTTTCTCACCAGGACTCCGAGAATTTTCTCATGAAGTTAGTCATCATGTCTGGTGTGAGGGAGTTACCCACCGAAGACAATCCGTGATAGTAGTGCAATATCGTGGATCGGTTGGAGCTAGATATTAACACCGTAGAATGCCGGCTCAGTGGTATAGAGAGTAGGTGTGGGCGCGCGGGACCAAAGGTCCTGGGTTCGATTTCCGTGTGAGGTTCGTGAATGAGTACTGCTGAGGCGTTCCATACTAAAACAAAATGGCCGTCCAGTGCTTCCAGGATTCTAACGGTGGTTCAATAATGATCAATTATAACTTCAATGAAAGGGTTTAATCATTCAGTTAGTACATTGAGGTTTTTTAATCCTAACTATGGAGATTTGAGATGATTATACATAGTTGGTTACAACTTAACACATATTTTATACAGGCACTATTGAACTAAACAACAAACAAAAACAAACATGTGACTACCAGGCAAGTTAGATTCAAGAAACTCAGGAAACATAAAATTAGTATTAGTCATTACATTATTAGAACGTAACGTGAACGATAACTATTTGTATGGAGCTACCATGTGTTTTTTTAATGAAAGGAAATTTATGATTTTCAATTAAAAACATTTAAACTTACCCAACTGCAATAAACTGACCAGCATTTAATGGGTGTTTAGCTAATTGAGTTAAAAAACAAACCGCAGATGCAATAAATGCAGCAGATCCATTTGCATTGAAACTGGTGAGAAATGGTGCCACAGTTCGTACTAAATCTGAGTCTATACCATAACGATCACAGACTTGAAAAAGTTGTGGAAGAGCAATTAAACTGAAAGATACATATTTTTTAAAAACATTATTCAAATTAAATAAAAATGATTAAGTTAACGTGTTGAACAATTTAGCAAGTTCAATACTGAGGATACATTTACATCTTGATGAATTTAATCATCATGCTTTTTAAATGAACGTTTTCGGAGATTGAAGCAGAAACTATTTTACATGTCCGTAGGTGCCATTTTTTGAAGTTGTGCATTGATATCTATTCCAACGATGAGAATCTGAGTGAGATTGTCACTTCACTCAACTAGGGAATGATAACAGAATGATGGATTAGCAACCAGTAAAACGTCACTACTTATTCCCTTTAGTATATTACTTATGTTCCCAGTTGAACACAACAAACACTTGAGTAACACTGAGTCGCATTTTAGTCTGCAATCGAAAGACCATATGATTGGAAATGCTAAACACGGTCAAACAACAACCATATGAGGGAACCAGTGAAAGACGTAGTTAAGTCTGAAGTAATAGAGTAGATAAATGATAAGTATAGTACATAGCATGAGTGTTTCAGGGATAGTTGTTAGGATTCTCATAAATAGAATAAGAGGAAATCAAAGGGCTGAAAAAACGATACTAACAACGGTGAGGAAATAAAGCAAAGGAGGAGAAACGTAACTACTGGAGTTAGGTAGTGAAAGACAAAGTTTGTGTTTCAAAAAGCTACACCAGCTAGGGCAAGGAATTGGATGAAGTGAGGTTTAGAGACTTTGTATCAAAACACTATACTAACTTAAAGGTTTAACTGATGATCTATGGAACAAAATTGTCAGTTTTCAAATTAATGTCCGAGAAACAAATACAATTGACGGTTATAAAGCGAGTGATTCGATTTAAAATCAATTAAAGTGGGATCAGTGTACATTTTCTCTTGAAATTAAAAAATATTTTAAAATTTTATGATTATTTAATTGGAAACGTGTTTATAGCTCTCTTTAAACCATACTTGCTCGCTAGCTTTATGTACCCGGGATAAATTGATAAAAGTAAGGGAGTGAAAGTGAACGTCTAGGGATTAAAGTTGATATGTGCATACACCCTGTATAGAAGAGTTTGAAAACTTTGAGGACAATCTCGAAAATAATAAAGGAAGAAGTGGCGCATAAATCCACCTTGACTACTTGCTATCACGGAAATCCATCCTAATGTCATTCTATATGAGTAACTTGAAGTATCGATTTTAAGCTGAAATCTTGAGAATAAAACAAACTAGTCTTATAAAGAAAGTTACATGTTAGTGATCGAAAATTATGTATCCGTTGGGTTTACCTAAAGGCTGCCATGCAGCTTCATAAAGTATTCAACCAGACAAATCAGTAAAATGTGAAATTAATACCTTGTGAGTAGTTGAGTTTCACAGGTAAACCAAGAGAAAGTCTGTAAAATTTGTTTGAATTGTTTCGTAACTCTAGCTTTTTTATGCCACAAACATACAATAAATTGAACACCAGATAGAAAGAAAATAATTGATCAGAGTAAAATAAATCAAGCAGAAAACTTACGAGCTGGTCGAACTGAAAGCAGTTAGTACAGGTTCAGATAAACAGATATAGAATCGAAATAAATTTTTCCTTACTACTATGAAGAACAATAACGGCATGATCACAAGTACGATGATTGAAAGAAATGTAATTGATGATGCAACAAACAGAACCAGAGCTATGAAATTATCCTCAATTCTTTCCATCCGCGCTATCGCATAAGCGATTAAACTGACTATGGCAACTGGGAGTAATCTAAATAAAATGTTAAGTAACAATTTTAATTTCAAAAAGATATTCAATATAGATTTTAAAAACAAGTCCTAGTTAGTTACTGAACATATCATTTGGAATCTAGAGTCATTTTTATTGTACAAATTTGAATCGGTTCCAATAAAACAATGTTAGTTAGGTGAATAGAGTATCTGGTTCATTTTACTTATTTAAGCAAATAATTGTTGGCACGAAATGGTATCTAAATATTTATGCGCCACACAAATTCGATTTGTGAGCGGACTGGTCTATTGTTCGGACGCCAAAACCGAAGCAGGTGGTTTTCTCAGAGGGCATCCCGAGTCTCTCACTTAGAGATCTAATCCACAAGGCAGTGGAGCATTGTTAGGAGATGAAGTCCGATAGCAATCTGTGGCCAATATATATATATATATATATTCAGTAAGATTTTATGGAATTTATTAGCTAATCAATCATTTCAGAATATCGAATTGTGAATGAGATAACATACAGTTTTAAATTCCTTCAATAGAAACTGAACACAGTTTTCATTTTATAAAAGGTAGTTATATAGAATTAACCATAAAGTTCTCACTTGATAATAAACTCAATAATTACAGTCATTATTTCAGAAATAGACTCAACCAATGAAATTAATGGACGTGATTTTTCCTTTCGAGACCCAGCAACTAAACCAATAACAAGGCTAGTGGTAAACAAACCTATGAAAAGAAATATTGAATAAAAACATGATAAATTTACTGCAATCGTAACAAAAATAATGAGTGGTAAGAGAGCAAATACATTCAAGTAACTAATTTATTTCATGTACATGAATTATTTAGTTGTTCAACTTTGTTATTCAATTGAAATAATACACTAATTATTAAGGCAAAGAGTGGGCTCAATTTCTACAATTGAAAAACATCTCGAACTACAAACAAATATCAATCAACATCAAGGTCAGAATTTTCAATACAAATGTCAAGACGGTTCTGCTGTACGGCGCGGAAACTTGGAGAACTACGAAAGCCATCATCCAAAAAGATACAAGTATTTACTAACAGCTGTCTTCGCGAAATACTTTGAACCCGTTGGCCAGATACCATCAGCAACAACCTACTGTTGGAGAGAACAAACCAGATTCCAGTGGAGGAGTAAATCAAGAAGAAGCGCTGGAAGTGAATAGGATACACATTGCGGAAAGCACCCAACTGCTTCGCAAAACAAGCCACCACTTGGAATATTACGCCAAGAAATGGAGACAGACATGAGAACGGACGAAAATTGGACAGAACTGGGAATGGAAGCCCAAGATAGAGTAGGTTGGAGAATACTGGTGGGTGGCCTATGCTTTATGGGGGTACCAGGCGTAAGTAAGCGTGAGTTTAACCATTTACTTGCTGTAAGTATTACATTTCTCACAGTCCTTGGGCCTCCCTTTTCCATTCAGTTTGCAAAAAAGATGGAGCCCATGCGGTGATTACAGAGTATTAACAACAGATATTCAATGTTCCGCCTCTGAACTAGTATACGGCACGACATTGCATCTGGCTGGGGAATTTTCCACAAAACGGAGCAACGATTTTATGTATATCAGATAACGTCCAACAATTATCTACGAACATGAAAACACTGCCTCCGGTGTCAACTCGAATACAGTATTGACACGTTGCTCCTTCTCGAGAGTTATTTAACTCTTCACATGTTTTCACACGAGTAGATTCGATATGTAAAGAATAAAAATATTTTATGACTCTTGAATAACGATGAGAAGCAAAGATAATGTGTTGGACGAAAAAAGAAGTCGCATACTCAGTAAAATTTTTTCATTAAAACACTATGATTTAGGTACGTGCATCTTCAAGCGAGAAACACATTAAATAAATTAACCATAAAAATTCAATTGTGTCGATTGGTTTTCAGTTTTTTTAATGTTGTAGCGTAAAGTTTGAAAAAATACAGCCATTTTGCGGAAGCTACACAGAGAAAATGTATCTTACCTAGGATATTTGTTTGTGCTGTATCTTCAATTACTCGTTTGTAAGTTGTATTTGAAGATGAGTTACCATCTGAGTTGGAGAAAGAAGATCCGACTGGCTTGTATGTTGTAACTGTCTTTAACATAAAAGTAAAGAATGCTAGTAACTATTAAATAAAAATGACGAAATTATAAAAGGTGGATTAAAAAATAACAGTTTATTTTATTTTTAAATAATATATTACAGTAGATTTTAAATCACACATGTTGTGTTAAGGGCAGTGGTATTACTTGTATGAAGGAATAAAAACAGAACATGAACGCAGATTTGAATCTGTAATTCAGTAACTGAAATCTTAATACTTAATCGTTTGAATCACAACGTAAATATTGCAAAACTATCAATTAGAACTTATTCTAAAAGTAAACTTATTCAATCATCTGAAACTATAAACAAAGGTGTGTACGGAGAGAGTAACGTAGTTATATCTATTTAAACTCGATAATATTTGGCCAATCGAGAATCCTACTGTCTGGCATTCAGTATTATTTTAAATACTTTGATTATTTATATGCTCTATATATGACAAGGCCAATATTTGAGTAGCTTCACATTTTGAATAACAATGACATATATATATGACAGTGGTGAATAACAACAAGTATGAAAAAATGATGATCTGCATGGTTGATGGTGACAAAGATGTTTATAGAGGGACTTATTATTAAATTTTAATAAATGGTACGTTTTGTATAGATTGAGTAACTAAACACAAAATAGAATATATATTTTATGCATAACGAATACAAGTTGATTATTATTAGGGATTCGTCAATTCTTTTTATGCTATCAAATGAGTTTACTGCACTAATAAATCGACAAGGTCTGAGTTTCCCAAATAAACTATACTTCGGATGGTGGCTAGAAATTGAGTTTATAAGGCAGGTGGTTCATTATGGCTATCAACTTAACAGCTGATTAATATTTAGAGTAATTTTAAGTTAGTGCTAGTCAAATAGCATCGTCCAAAATTACCGTATGTACGTTTGTAAATAAAAATAAAACATGAACAGCAGTCAAGTGGGTGCTGTGGAGTTAAATTAGAAACTGTTGATTCTAATGCTACTATTATCATATAATTCTCTCAATTGAAGTAGTAGTCCACGTAAAAATATGATGAAATCATGATTTAAACATTACTTTGTTAATGACAGAAACTTTTTCAATGAAAATAGGTTTTATTTTATCATCCCTTTGAATGTTCTCATCCTAACCTCAACCATTACTTCTAATACCCTTACTAACTCTCCTACTATTGGATTTGAATTGACAATTATATCTCTGTGCTGATGTGGTATGGCGACATGAACTGATGTACTTACGTACGAAGTTCTACGTTGCAACTGACTGACTAACTGATCCCTTTGAATGGAATAGATGACCTTTCAGTCATAAAGTTTAGCCACGAAAAGATTATGTGAAATGTTTTACATTAGTTTTGACAGAGTGTGAAAAGATACAAAATTATGTTTAAAAACTTTAAATAATAACAATATCATTGATGATAAATGTCTACTGAAAACTTACCGAAAACAAAAACATTTTTACAAAGTTATCAGGAACCATATTTCTAAAAATATATGAGTGAAATTATTTGTTTTTATCGAACTACAAATCATAAATATTACACTGAAAGTATAAGCAGAATTTGTTTTTAAGATTGAGAATTATTAGAATTCATATATTATCATTACCATATAGTCAATATAATTTGGACGCATGCAAATTCTAACTCATGGAAAAATTGTCAAAATACAAATTTTTCTGTGAAAAAAAGGGTTTGACATCTTGAAAACCCCCAAAAAGGTCCAACTTTTTAATAACCATTATGAACCTATTTTGAGTTGGTAAAATAATCTAATTACTGCTTTCATGGCTATTTAAGTAAATTAAATAGCTTCAGTAGACTTAAATGCTTCTATCAATCGTTGACTGATGACATCCCATCTACCTAGGTAAAAAAAAGACACTTCTTCTACAAAGGAGTCGAATTAGTACTTCGTGGATTTTCAGGTTTAGGTCATGGATCGACTTAACCATAATCGAAAGTTACAATAGGTAGTGGTTTTGAGTTTGTAAAACAGTATTCAGCCACCTTAGTTGTCGTAGATTTACTACATCGACTGAATTGATTCTGAGTGCGCGTTTGCGAGATCATAGAATATCAGTAGTATGTAAAAAGTCGATAAATGTCTTTTTATGTCGACTAGCCGGGAAACATCACTAACAGTTGGAAAATATGATAAAGTGAAATAGTAACTTATTTTTTAGATTGCTAGCACACCTACACATTTATCGTTGGCTCCATATTTTGAGTAATTTATTGCTATAATCACTACCTTACAGGATGAAACTAAATGTCGCTGTAAATGAATCTTCACGTTATTCTACACTTTGTAGGCGCAACGACCATCAACACTTCCTACTCTTGTTACTCCTGTACCTGATAAGAAGCACCAATTAATACTGCATATTCGAACAAAACGATTTATAAGCCTGTTGACATAAGAAGCAAAAGAGTTGAGAGGTATCATGATTAGCTCTGTAAAGATGGGACGTTGAGTAACTGAAATTTTTTAAGCTGTTATTTGTTATAAGCTGACGAGGCTTGCAACGTAGCTAAAAAGGTTCAGCAGTATGGAAACTTTCTGTAGTTATGAGTATACGGCTAAGTTAAGTATTCGAAATTAAACAGAAAAACAATAAACAACTGAAGAATGAAGTAGTCAAAAAACCATTTTGTCTAGTAGGACGGGAAGTCTTCACTATAAATCTTCTAAACAAAAACAATAGACACATGTGTTTTGGTCGACATAAAATGCTCCACGGAACATACCTAAACATAGAATAACAAGAGTCAGAAAGAAATTCGCGACATCCTAATTACAAGCTTGAAGAGTAGACAGAGCGTTATGAGTAGGAAATGACTGAGTCACGAAGTTGCGCTTCTTATATGAACATTTTGAATTATGTAGTCACCAAGTCGAATAAGTTTGCTCTTGAAAATGTGATTCAAGACTTGAAATTATGACGCAATATATATCATATTTTATGCCAACAGTATTAATTTATGAAGTGATGTGGAAAGAATGCCACCTAATAAGGGGTGTAGACCTTGATAAAACTAGAATGGTATTCGACAAACTCATAGGGGGGAACTTACAATATGCATTAGGTGAATTTACAGAGGGAAACAAACAATAATATCACTTAGACAAACATTCAGACTGATAGAGAGCTGTTTAAGAGCTTGTTCTAAATTTTGAGCAGAGTGGTTAACAAAGAGCTCTATGCACACAGAAGATAGTAAGTTTCCCATAACCATTTAGCTAGTATTGATAATGGGCCTCAGTGCTTCTCCACACAATATTTGTATTTACAAATTAATCAATACTACAAATTGGGATTTTTCTCGTATGACACTACATATATGAAGTCAAAAAAATAATTAGACTGACCTGAAGAAATCTAGAAATACGTCCGAAATTTTGATTCTCCTTGAACCTTTTGACATTGTGCCTGTCATCTTAGCACTCGCAGTAAACCTGCCACCTGAGAAAGTTAGGGAGAAATAGTTATGAACCTGGGTCGATAAGTGTCGTAATACCGAGACCCAGAAAAGCACCAAGAATGTTCATCAAAATACAATATCCCAAAGCAAGTAACGCCATTTTCCCTTGTACTGAAGGCTTCAGCTTAGACGACACTATATATATCAAGTTTCTAAGAATTCTAAAGTAAACAAAGACTACTTGAAATTATATTTGTGATTATCAAAGGGATAACAGCCAAATTTAATGATCTGATGAAAAGTTCCCCGGGAAGACCTATCATTTATCAACAGTTTACAGGAAATTACCTATCCATAACAAAGCAGACTCTGGGACAATAAATACATTTAATATAACACCCATGCCGATTCCTACTACGATCGCTATGAAGGTGGACAGAAGAACAAGATTGTTTCTCAGCATAGCTCTCCATCTGTAAAGAGGTGCATTCAGTGTTGGACAGAAATTATGACAATGATTTGACAAACCTCATAGTTATTTATTAAACTAGATGAAGCTTTGTCTTAATGTGTTCATCCGCATAAACCAGTTGAGACGGAGCATTTATATGCAGCATTGTTGGACTGAATTGATTGGTTTATCAAACAGAAGCGACCTTTAACCATGATGCGTTCAAACATCCAAGCTATCTAGCTCCAATAATAAGTTTAATTACTTATGGTACAAGTTACTGCCGGTTTTTGTCTGTCGCTTTCATCATAAAATGGAATGGCATTCTTCTGCTCGCTAAGGACCTGAACATCTATTACAATAACTTTTGTCCTGCATATTCGTTCACATGTATTATGCTACACAATTTCTCAGCATATAAAGTACCTTAAGGCAAAAACATAAAAGTATTAGAGGCTGAAATTTATTTCATTTGTAGTATCTCGAATTATATTGTAGAAAATTTACTTTTATAAAGAGAACGCGGTTGGTTTAACAGAAACATTATTACAACCAATTGTACCAGTAATTGTTTAACTGTACTTTTTGTCTGTTGCACTCTGAACGCTCAAACTTTCTGTTTGCGTTGCTGCTTTTTTGGCTCCAATGTCTCTGTAATTTCGCCTTTCTTTTCTGGCACGATTTCGATATTCTCTCGAAACCACGAAATCGCCAACAAATATATTCTTTTCTAAGGAGTAACTTTTCTTCTTGGTGATGGGAACGTAATTAAAATTTAGTGGTGATCATAGTCAATCGCGACAAGATCACTACAATATCACACCTAATGAGGATTCCACCATCTAGCGCATCAATACATTTGTTCAGTGAGTTAGGGTTTAAAAAGATCATTATTGGTGATGATTTGTAATGCTACTTCATCAAATAAAATGCCATCGTTAAAATAAACTAAAAATTGTGAAGGTAATGACAGTTATTAATTCGACTTTTATCTTATGTTTGTCGGAAAAAGATTTCGCTTTATAAGTCGGTTAACATGTCATACATACAACGACTTCTAAATCCTTGATACAAATACAAAATTTGTCGTAAATACTTATCAGAAATCTAATCCTCGAATACAGTACATATAACTACAAGATAGCTGTTGATATTTTTCTTCCATATTTTGAGCCCAGGATTTGTTTCCCTTGATTATGTTTGGCGTTTTCATTGTGCCATAATATATCAGGCCTAATGCATCGTAACAGCAAAGGAGTGAAGCAGAATGCAGCACTTCAGACAGTTAGGAAAGTTCTCCTAGGACTACTAGAAGTTTTTGCTAGGTCATTTTAGTGCATAAAACGATACAGCTAGTCTGAACAGACTCTCGGGAATATGGTAAATGAATTACCGCCATGTAAATAGAGAAGTCTGAGTAGGTTCACCTAAATGGTCGCTCATGTTGTTATATATATCAATTCAAGTTTGAACTACTGAGTAAACACAGGCGTGACGCTTAGTACCATTCCCAAGAAAGAAACAGGCTAAAACAAAAAAATTACTAAGCTTAAATCGACACAGTTCTGGTACTAGTTAAAATATACTTCTTAGAGATATGACTGTCCAGTTAAAACTAAAACATCTCATACCCATATGACCTTGGGTGTAATTTAAGACTCTTTCGGAGACTATTGTATAGGAGTAATCGAAGCAGCCTCAAAAAATTGGTGAGGCAGATGGCGTAATCTGTAATCAAGCAACCGATGAGGCTGTTTTCGTACATCAGTTTCAAAACGAAAGCTCATCTTTGGATTCCCAACATAAAAATGGACGAAGTAAACTTCAAACGATAGATGAAGTTCGAGACAGAGCAGAAGCCATGATGGATTACTTTGGATCAAGAAATTTTACTTCCAGCTGTAGATTGGCCAGCCTCGTCAGTTTTGTATTTAAAATGCTGGAAAAAATAATCGGAAGAAGCCATAAGGTTGTTCGTGATAACAAACAGCTTTCCAAACTGTCGACAAAGTGTTTTCAGATAGGTTGATCAAGCACAACAAGCCTGCTTATAGCCAGTGCACGTCAAGTTGATTTAGATGTTCTGGTAAGCTGGCCTAAAATACGGCTACTGCTGAATGTATCCATATGCACAATGAGGATAAAGTGGCTAATGGTCCAATCTCCCAGTGATATTGGATCAATATTAAGCCATAAAATTAAGACCGTGACCAAGTGTCGGTTGATGCTGCAAATTTCAGAACCCTTCGGGCTTTGAGATGGACATTTGCCTTGGAGGACATAGCGAGCGACTGAAAAAGAAGAGGACGAAAAAAATACCCGTGAGACACAGGTCCTACACATCTAATCATTAGCTCTTGGGACTTTCCATAAACAGATGTGGTGTCATTAACTTGTTCTGAAGGCTTACTAGAAAACAACTAACACATGTCCTCTGTCCAAAACTAACCATTCGGAATCTGATATTGGGTACGAAGACAGACCCCAACAGCTGTGATTATCCTCTCTAGGTTATAGAAGAATCATTTACTTATCACACCTGACTTATTACCTCCGTTTCATCTTCGTTTTTAACGTTTCTGAACTTTTGAAATCTAATTAACACTGGAATTTTCTCCTTATTATTCTTCATAATGTGATGGAGCGACCTCGAACTGTAATAACTGCTTGATTCCAAAAACCTTAGTACCTTTTGACCAACCCGCTTAAACTACGGGACGTACAAATCCATGAAGAACTATCAGGTCTTCGGCAGCATACATACATCCACTCACTCACAAACATAGGACTTGTGGAGAAGTTACTGGATACACGCAAAGTTACTTACTAATACGGTCAAAAGTAAAGTTGCAATTTTGGAGTACTTTCAGGCTCTGTTCCTTGTTGTTTTATTATATACTACTAAATTTCTTCTTTCCTAAACCCCTTTTTTGTGTATCTCGTATCCTAATTTTGTGTATCTCATATTTTAATCTCGGTATTCACCTCCTAATCTCCCTGGCATCATGTCAAGTAATAAGGTCGCTAGTACACTTTACACTGTAACAACTAGGAAAACTTATAGAGGCATAAACCCCGGGGTCGATAGCGCATCGAAAATTCCAATATCGTGCGAACGGGCTGCTAAAAAACCCAAAAGGTCAGTCGATAGAACGCCCCTCAGTGTCCACACTTTAGACCACTCAACCCAGACAGCACAGAGGAAGCAAGACACCACCCCTATTCCTAAAAAGACCAGTAAGTTAGTTAAGAATAGGAGAAAAAGACGCTCCAAGGCTCGGTCGACACAGAAACAGCATAAGGACGACTGTTTTGCCTGCTCATCACCAGTCAAAACCAGCGACCATGCCTTCGAATGCAATTTCTGCAGTACATGGGTACATTGTCACTGCGACAATACAGTACCTAAAGAGTACTACGGTTTCATGCTGAGTCACCCCTGCCCATGGTTCTGGTACATCTGCCCTCGGTGCAGAGTTTCCGACGCTTTGACAAAGCCACAGGTCTCACCCTAAACCAGCCCCCACGTCCAAACGTCCAAAGCAAAATCGCCTGACACTAAACCGGTAAAACAAGTGACCAAGGCTACCACAACCCTGCCTAACACACCGACCAAACTGCCGGTTGTTGTTAACCCCCTAGTAGCTACCAGCAACAGACAACAATGGGTGACCGTGAAGAAGGGAAAGGGCAACACCCCAACTCACAACCAGCCTCCACCCAAGACCAGGGACAACAGATCTAACTCCCTCATCTTATTTAATGTCCCAGTGTCGGAAGGAAGCTTGCTAGAAGGTAGGGCTGCCTTCGACAAAGAGCAATGGGATAAACTCTGCTCAACCCTCGGAATGTGCGAGGTCCCAGCTAAAATATGTCGCCTTTTCAAAGGACAGAACGTCCCGAAAGGAAAACCCCCTCCAATGAGGGTAACTCTTGACTCAGCACGACTAGCTGAAGACATCATCCTTTCATCCCAAAGACCATCGGTCAATTTGTCCTCGCTGATTCGTATCAGGCATGACAAGCCGTGGTCGGTACGTGCAGCAGCCAGAACTGTACCAGACACCCAGGAACAGACCACCATGGTAGTTCACGGCACACCCGAACTCACCAACGGTAACCCGGACGAAGCACACGAGCACGATGTGCAACAGTGGCGATGGCTATGGCGTAGCCTATCCCTCCACACCCCGATGGCAGTCTGCATCTCCAGGTTGCCCCGCCCGTCACACCTTACGTCTATCAAATCACCACTCCTGATAGCTGTAACACTCAGGAACCGGGAAGACCTGACCGAAACACTACAAGCTTGGTACAGTTCGAAGAACGATCTACCTAGCCACATCAGATGTTGTGAGAGCCGACCTAGATCTGTGAGACAACAACAGGGAGGCCAAAATGAACGCACACAGCCGATAATTAAACTCGGTCAACTACCTCTGGCACAAGATATGAGTGAACCAACCGCGCAGGCAAAAAGCCTGCAGAGGCCAGTTCCCACAGAACTGGCCGACTCGGTTTAAATAACTTGTCTGAAAACCCGACAAAGGCTGATGCTGCAAACGTGCACCAGGTTCAGAGACAAACCTCCAAGTGCCTCTATAGCAACGTAAGAGGACTAAGGGATAAGCTGTTAGAAGTCAGGAATATGCGCTCTCAGATGGATCTGAAGATCATAATCCTAGCAGAAACATGGCTATCCCCTGACATTGCAGTGGGCTTACCAGGCATGACACTCTTCCGAAGCGATAGGGAACACCAAACTGGAGGTGGAGTGGCTATATATGTAAATAGCCACTTAAAAGCAGAGCGGCTATACAACACCCAACTAACTGAGGTGACAGAATCATGTTGGTGTTCGTTCCACTCAAATGGCACGAAATACTTGATTGGAGGGATCTACCGACCTCCTTCGGGTATTAGGGCCCAGAAAAGCAAACTGGTTCAGGTAATTCTGCAACTGCCACTCCTAGGGTTTGATCAAATACTCTTAGCCGGAGACTTCAATACCCCATCTTTAAATCTCAGCAATCAGAGTATAACTCCCACTGGTTGGTTCCAAAGACAACTTGGTACAGCCATTAGAAGCTCTGGCCTGACTGAGCACGTACGCAGCGCCACTAGGTGGACTAAGGAAGGGAAGTCCTCAAACCTAGATTATCTGCTGACGAACGACCAGCTCCTGGTTGAGGATGTTCACATCCGCGCTCCAATAGGTAGTAGTGGCCATGGCACAGTCCTGTTTAACATGGTCACAAACGAAACGCTGACAACGGACGATAACGAGCCTTACCTTTGCTACAGTAGGGCAAAATACACACGCATGAGAGAGGTGCTCCTACATGCCCCATGGCCACGGGAGTGGTGGAGGCTGACAGTAAATGATCACTGGCAAGCAGTGAGAGATATCATCCAAAACGCTGTCGTAGACAACGTACCTCAATCACACCCCAAACGCCAGAACAGAAGAACCTGGGTTAGGCGCGGCACGGAACGCTTGCAACAGGTGAAGAGGAGAGCCTGGCACAAGTGGAAGGTCTCCTTGAAGGATTCCGATTGCAGTTCTTGTAATTTTATTTCTACAGTGGCCGTCCCAATTGGTTCCAATAGAGGCACTCCTGTACGCTTCTCCCAGCTCCGGGTCCCAACCAATTCAAAAAGGACAAAATTCTAGGAGAAAACGTCTCTGTATTAGTTAAAAAATGGAAATACAAAGCATTACGTATATAGTGCTTCTTCCAGGGTAAAGTTACTCCGCAGAGTATCCGACACAATAACAAATAAGTGACGCTAAGTCCAGCGGCCACTGCGTCCGTCCAAAAATGTGGCGGTAGCCATATAATATCAAATTTAAACAACATATGTACAGTTCAGAAGCAAACACAAAAACTTCAATATAAGTACAAAATATAGAAATAATAACAATATACAATGATAAAATCTCAAATTGGAATCAAATAAAATACCAAAAATGTCAACAGAAAAAGTCCGTCATGTCATAGCAAAAATATGTAAACATGGAGGGATTTTCCAAAAAACAAAACATTCAAAAAAGGATTCTACAGTTCTTACTTGGAATTGAGAAACAGATGCAATACCAAAGTTCGAAGCGACAGGAGACAATTCCAGACGAAACTAGCCGCCAGAATAGATGCAAACCCGAAACATCTGTTTAGGTTCATGTCCAAAAGAAAACCTACTAATCAAGGGTTGTGCCCCCTAAAAGGGCCAAACGGGGAAGACCTCACCAACCTAGAGATGGCCGAGATCTTCAACACCCATTTTTCTGATCAATTAAACCAGGCGCCTACATGTTCAGAGTATTACGCCAACCCAATGCCAGCTGACGGCTTAGGGAACATCCGTATCACTCCTGACCTAGTATTAAGGAAACTGAGATCCTTACGCCCAGGTAAGTCACCAGGTTGTGACAACATCCGCCCTATAGTTTTGCAACAGTGCGCTGAAGCCCTCTGTTCATCGTTATGCAACCTGTTCAGGCATTCACTGGAGTCACACCAATTCCCAGGGGAATGGAAACAAGCTACTCTCTCTCCAATCTTCAAAGGAGGAGATAGAAAGGACCCAGCCTGTTACAGACCAGTCGCACTACTACCTATATTATCAAAGGTTATGGAAGGACTAGTGGACGAACAAATGAGGGAGTACATGGATAAGAATAAAATACTCCATGAAGCTCAACACGGGTTTCGGAAAGACAAGTCGTGTGCATCTAATCTTCTCATCGCATGGGACAGTTGGACATCCTGCTTGGACCGTAAAATTCCAGTGCACGTAGTATTTCTCGACTTCGCAAAAGCCTTTGACACAGTGCCCCACGCACGCCTAATCGAAAAGGTTGTGGAAATGGGCTTCACTGACCCACTCGTATCTTGGCTCAGAAACTACCTTGAGAATAGAAAGTTTCGCACCAAGGTAAACAGGGTGCACGCGAGTCGGAGAGTATCCACTTCAGGAGTTTCACAGGGGACCATCCTAGGCCCACTCCTCTTCCTGATATTCATTAACGACCTGCTAAGCTTAGTTAGCTCACCGGCACTGATCTACGCAGACGATGCGAAGATCTGGAGGTCCATTAGAAGCGAAGAGGATTCGACTGAGCTTCAAAAGGACCTTACATCCATTGAGAAATGGGCAGTGAAAAACGGTTTAAAACTCAACCAACCGAAGTGCCACGTCATGCATTTCCTGCCTCATATGACGCAAACCACCTACACCCTAATGTCTCCTCAGAGCGCGATCTCGGTTTAACAACCACAGAAAGCCTCCACACGAGTCCGAACTATGTAGGGGATGCAGCCAAGGCAAATGCGACTCTTCACTTTATGCGAAGACAGCTTGGTGCTATAACCCCGAAATTATTTTTAACCCTCTTTAAGACGTACGCGCGCCCACACTTGGAGGTTCACAACGTCATCGCACCCCCTCTGCTTAAAAGAGACATTAATCTCTTGGATCGAGTTCAGAGACGAGCAACCAAATGGGTGATAGAGTTGAAAAATAAACCGTACGACGATAGACTCCAGCTCTTGGGATTATTCCCACTGAGCTACAGGAGAATCAGAGGTGACCTGATTATGGCGTACACCATATCAAACACGACAAACCATCCCAATGTGAGCATCTTACCGATGCATCACCATCACTCCCCTCGAAGCAATCCTCAAAAGATTGCACATCAAAGAGCAAACACTCAGATTCGTGCACACTTTTTCTCATTGCGAGTCGTCGCAGCTTGGAATGCTCTCCCAGCCGAGGTAGTTACAGCCCCCTCAGTTGACTGCTTTAAGAAGAGACTTGATAATCACGTATTCACATACGGACCATCATCTCCCTCTTGGACAAGCTGTGTCTGATGCATATCTTGAGATCTGCTAGTTGTTACCATTGTCATCTCCTCAGATCACTCAATTAATCTATCTCGCCTATTATCTCTGTTTCCTCTCCCTTGCTTACACTTCGGTCCTCTCTCACAATCTTCACTACCAATTAAAAAACTAAATTCATCGATACATTACTCAGTTCTGAAATTTTACTCATATTATCATTTTAATTTATCCTTATTACCCTTATTACTCTTCACATTGCAACTAACTGATCTCCGGTTTGGTAATGTGACGGCTGCTAGTATCCAGAAACCCTACTGCCCTGAAACAAACGTTTCATTCAAATCCCGAGACATACAAACTGACAACCAACTGCCAACTGACTAGAATTAGACAGTCGAGTGGCTAGACCTCCATCCATTGGACATTACCGAACACCTGGAACCGTACCGAAAGAACAAGAATCGAGCGCGAAGAAATCAAATTGGTTTACACTAGCTCGTGAAAAAGATATTGGATATTTGATATTGGACATTGGGTGCAAAAGTTTTTGGATTCTGAAGGTTCTTAGCAATTCTGACTCTCAAGGACAAACCTTATGACCATTTGGGCGTACAATTTGCGCAAGCTGATCTTGGTTGGGAGAAACATTGCGCTTTATTCCGTTGTTTCCAGATATAAACGATTTAGTTCGACTTTTTCCTACTCTTTGACATGGAAACGCACTCAACTACCATTGTTTGTTCTGATATTCCCTACAACAGTTGGTTTTGACTTCAGTGATCATAAAAACACTGATATATTCGAATGCATTCTGTCTATGAATAACAATTCTCTTTCCAGGTCTATTCTTTTCTTGTTATTAATTTTTTTAGCATTTTGAAAGGTCGCAAGGACGCCTGCAACGATAGACATCCTTTAGGTTGGACACCACTAATGCTTGCAGTAGTAACAAGAAATTACCAGTAATATGTCTTTATTATTATATAAGGAGCTGAAGGGCAGTGAGGGAATTATTGAAGTCAGGTGCAAATCCGAACGATGTTGACTATTACGCGGGTCTCGTTAAAAGTGCAAGTGATTTGAGAATGTTGTCTTCTGAAGGTAATTTATCGATACTTTTTAATTACACTTAGTTAAGTGGATACGGCTCACACAGTTCAGTGATTTCCTGAATCCGTCGTCTGATTTTCGTGGTTGTTCTGCACTTCACTACGCTGTGTTAATAGATGACGCCAAATTGGTTCGTCTATTGCTAGAAAACGGTATGTCGTCCTGTTTTTGCAGTCTGTACTGTGAAAATATTTATTGCTCGATTATGCGTTGCAATTACTCAATGCACATTTCTTATCAGAATATAGCACCGTGTAAACAATAAATTACTCACTCTGACTGGATATAATCTCCCAAATAATCTCTACATTAATATTCATCAGTCCTCTCATCTATGGTTTTTATGATTACTAATATGTGGACAGAACAGGTTAAATTCGTGTGTTTTGAGCTGAACTAATTTTTTAAGAGCTGGTAAAGCTGCACGAAGTTCTTTATCAAGACAGATAAAACTAACTGATCCGAAGATCTAATAATTCAAATTGTTGTACCTAAATTACTGAACCACAAGCTGAACATCGAGGTCTTCCTACCTAAAGCTATCACTCCATTTCGAAGCGTTACTTGATTTGATGGCACTATTTATTCTAGTCAATCGGTGTGCGATTTGTAGATCACTGAAATGGCCACTCAAGTTTTACTAAGAATTCAGACTAACTAGTCTTTTGCTTCAAATTTTTTTTGGTTAGCACTAGGTTTCAAAAAATCATGTTAATTCTTCATAGATTAGCTATCTAGAAAATCTCTCAACAAAATTGTTCGGAATACCTTCATTTGTAATACCGATTCAGTAACTAGAAGACTGGCTACTTTTATGTCAAGTAATAATGCGTGTCCTGCCAAACAATAAGGCGTACGCTTATGAGTTCACTGTTCCCCTTTGTCTCTTATTCACAGTGTTGTCGTGTTATACCTTTTTATTCTTCCAGATAAAAAGTTGTTATTTATGTTAGTCGGGCACTTATTCCTCTGTATTCATTATATGGAATCTTACTACCCAATAGTCTAAGTTAATGAGGGATTCTATCAATCTTTAAACGATATAACTATGTTGCAGGACACAATTCAATTTCAGGTTCCTGATTTACTGTTATTTTAATCTGTCTATAGGGGCTGATCCAACCATAGTGAATGAACGTGGCCACCGTCCAGCTATGTACGCTAAAGATCCCTCTATTAAGCGGTTAATGACTGAGGCTGAGTCGAAGGTATGTTTTCGTAGTTATAAACCCTATCTTATTATTCCTTACATTTCTCAATGAAAATAAACGGATAGCATGAGATTATAAATACTAAAGAAGTGGGTGAGGATATTGTACTATATAACTACTGTGCCAATCCGAATAAAAAATAGATCGGTTACAAATTACTTCCCGTTTTAAAGAATTGAAACCCGTAACGTACATGATCAAGCCTTGCTTAAAACCTTACTTAAATCTACATTAAGTAATATAGTAAATACTACTAAGAGAAATTTTTTTACAGATAAAAAGTTTTCGAATTTTTCTGGTGCAGTTACTCTAAAAAGTAACGTCGAACTTAATCCAAACTCGCATTATTTTCATTTCAAACAATCAAGACGGAGTAAATAGAATTAGTAATGCAAATCATAATAGTAAGATATGATTGCTGCATTCTGGGATAAGCGTATAACAAAAGTAAATGCATCTGTAATTAAAATCATTCTGAAAAGTTTTCAACCATAAATTACCATACGGATCTCATTCGCAGATTGTTTACTTCCTGACATGGTATAGAACGGCGATCGATATCTACATCCATTTATGCTATATGTTTGTATGGGACTCCTTAGTCCTTTCAACCCCCCGTCGATGACTGAACATTCGAAAAACGTGTCTCAGTCATCTCACTCACAAAATAAAAAAGACTCCGGAAACAATGTCACTGGATTTAGTTTCTCTACTCAAACACTACTAGTCGAGTTAGAGCTTATGGCAAACTGTAATCGGAATTCTTTACTTCAACTGGTGTCCGTCAAGGATGTCCACTCTCTGCATTCTGGTTTAACATTCTCCTCGTCTGACTTTTCAGGAGTTGACCTCCTACCAGGAAATTCACTTGTTGACTTAGAATATTTCGGTGATGTAGTTCTACTTGGTGAAGACGCTGACAAAATCCAGTCTTCTGACCACCTTGATCAGCAATACAAGCATGTTCGGGATGCGGTTTTCGCCCTCGAAATGGGAAATGTTGCTTCAGGATTGGCTTGCGTCAGCACCTAAACTAGTGATAGGAAGTGAAGTAGTTGAGCTTGTCGACCGCTTCACTCATCTTGGGAGCCGTCTCATCAGTGCTGATGACCTGATGTGTGACGAAATCTCAACACGGATACAGAAGGCCTGACTGGCTTTTGCCAACTTGCGCCACTTATGGCGTAGGAGAGATATCCGTGTGCTTCGTTCTACTCTATGGGTGTGAAACATGGCCGGTTAGAGTAGAGGATATTCGTAGGCTGGTAGTATTAGATCTTAATTGTCTTCGGTGCATTGCTAGTATGTCTTGGGACCACCGATTAAGTAATGCTGTTGTTAGGAAACGGGTACTAGGTGAGAATGGCATATCAATAGATGAAGTATTAGAACTTCACCAGTTGAGGTGTCTGGGACATGTGTTCCCACTAACTGCCTCGTCGTGCGATGTTTTGTGGTGTCGGTGTAGATTGGTAGAAAGCTATGAACGGCCAAACCAAAACATGGCACAAGTTCATGAAGTCACTGACAAGTGGACTGAGTCATGTTGGTAGATGTAAACTACCTGGTTGGGGTATGCGAGACGATAGTAACCGATGGTGAGACCTTGAATGACTTGGCTGAAAACCGTTCGGAATGGCGCAGGTGCATTCTTTCATTGTGTTCTCTCGAATTCTAATCTTCTGAATTCCTCATCACCTTTTAAGTTTGTTTCACAAGATCCTACTTCTTGAATAATATCTTCAAATCCTAACCTCTCCGGTTACTACTAATGCCTTTACTACCTCTACCACTGGGATTTGAATTGACAATTGCATCTCTGTGCTAAAGTCATATAGCAACTTAAGTTGATATACGTACGTACAAAGTGCTACGTTCTTACTGACTGACTGTCTGACTGACCACTCGTGATTTGTTTGATGGCTATGCTGATTTCGTCAGTTGTTTTCTGAGTAGCACCATTACGAAGTTCTGTAGGTTCTGTTTAATATCCGGTGAGTTTATTGGTACCGGCGTATTCATGATTTCTTCAAATTTCTTACTCATCTCTTCTTTGATCTCGGTAGTTGGTTTATCTTCCTTGTTGTTGATTGGTCGCTTGTTTCGCTCATCAGCTCCAATGTTCCTTTTCATTCAGTTGCTTGTTTCTGTGTCTTGGCTTTCTGCGCTTTTGTTCGGCTGTTATTAATTTGTCTTCTTGTCATTCTTTTCTTTAATCCTTCTCAAGGTCTCCACAGGGATTCTTTCCCTCCATATTGTACTAACTATGTAATATTGAATAAAGCCATTATTATTATTATTATTATTATTATTATTATTATTATTATTATTACTATTATTGTCATGATGCTTTTTGTGGCCCAGAACCCCTTGTAATGTTGAAGTTATTGCTACTTTAATAGCCTTCCAGTTGTTCTCTATGATAGCTTTCTCTTCGTTGAATAGATCTTGTTAAGTTTAGAGCTTATTGCTGAGAGCTATCCTGAGTTCGTTATACTTGTCAATACCATGAAGGAGGTCTGTATTAAACATTGGTAATGTTGTTTATGCAGTTCTTCATAGCTTCTTTAGCATTGGTTTCATCTTGTCGACCATCAGGCTGAAGCTTTATCAGCTCCTCTCTTATTTCTCATGTCTTCTATGATCCTCCTGAACTTTTTATTTTAGGTGTGACCGATTTAGTTTTCTGTATTGTAAACTGGTAAAACCTAAATAGCTTTATATACGCGTTTGTGGGGCAATATGGTACCACCTATAGTCATTTTATTGGTGCTCCATAGTGCTGCAAATCTTCCACGATTTTCGTTCCTTTCTCTCGATCTACATTGTTCCATGATGTTCACATATCCACTATTGCCCACTCCAACCTTAGCGTTAAGTCCTCTCTCCAGGATGGTCGGGTCCGTTCCTAAATATTTCTCCGCAATTTACTGTAGCCTCATGGATATGACCTTTATTGTTTTCGTTGCCATCGTTAGTGTGCTCATCACACTGGATGACATTCATTGTGATCCCCTCCTTTGTTTAGAAGAATGCTCTGATGATCCTGGGTCCATGAGACTCCCATATTATAAGTGTTTTCCGTACTTTTATAAAACATCTGTGCAACTCGTGTGTGTGAGGCATTTTCTTCCTCATGGACGGAGTACATCACCTCTCCTGAAGCTAGTCCTTTCTATCCAACTTGTTTCCAATAGGTTTCACTCACTCCAAACACCTCCAGGTCGTATCTTTTCATTTACACAGCTACTTGAAGCATCCTTTTAGTCTTCTATCTTATACGGACATTCCATGTACCTATGCTAACTGTTGCTCTAGTTGTCAGAAGGGGTGTCGACCACATGACTTCCGAAGAGACTTGGCTTTCACCGCGAGGCATCATAGCACTTCTTGATGAAAACCCTCCAACTCTCAGGTCAGAGTTTAAATGGTTTAAATAATTTTTCTGGTTAGAGTTTTTTGGAAAGTTTTTTTCTATGAGATGTATGGCAACCTGAACTTACGTGCGTACGTACGTACGAAGTTCTACGTTGTAAATGACTGACTGGTGTCATTATTTGGTCGTTTATGTCAACTCGAAATTCGGGCTTAGATAACTTAAATACGTTTTACGCATAGTATGTAAATGGCGACAAAACTAAGGATGGTTCGCTTCATTAGCTACAACTTCTTATATTTTTATTTCGCAATATGACGAATAATCCTTGTCCCCTGAGTTATACAAGATAAATGAATATTTCATTTCGTTAACTTAAGGATTCAAATTATTCACTCTTATAATCGACTTTTTCAGAAGGCAGAAGAAACAGCCGCCAAAGAGCGAGAAGAAAGACGCCTTCAACCACTAGAAAGTCGTCTAAGTAAAGTCATTGTTGGTCAAGAAACTGCCATTCGTACTGTTAGTGCAGGTTAGTTTATTACGTTCCTTTCTGTTTTCATCATATCTATCAAGCTTTCTCAAAATCCCTGAAAGAAAACAAGTTGTCTTCAGAATCCTGGTGAGAGTGAGCTGAAGTTCTAGTTATCCTAGTTCTTGATAAATTTTAAAAAACTTATCTCACTGTGAATTATAACAAAGTAAGGTAGAAGACTAAATTTCCTCGCTGACTATGATAGGAATCTGTACTGTTTACACTGGTAAGTGTTATTTAATTCTCAAAACTAAACTTCGGAAACTATTCCAAACCAATAATGGTAGTAGATTTGTATTCATAAAATCAATAATTCACACAACCAGATGAGGACTCACTAAAGTTGATTAATGCGTATTCAAGTATATATATATATATATAACTACCTACTTACTGTAAAGTAGACATTTGATCCACTATGTATACAGTTGTGCCGTATTATTTGCCTCATGTTCGCATCTCCAATCTTTTCTATGCTTTATTTGGTTGTAAACCTAGCCAATCAATAACTTTATCCATGTTTCGATTACCGTTCATAGAAAATACATATACGTCGTTACTGACTTACTAACTAACTAACTAACTTAATTACTTACTTCCAGTGAAATTCCTTGTTGTATCGTACAATTGTTTCAAGATCCCTTCTCTTGTAGCCCTTTCCGCCGTCATTGCTAGATCTTCCACATATCTAAGTTTGTCGGCTCTGATGCTCCTCTTCACTTTCTTGTTTGCTTTTGTGTATTCAACTTGTGCCTTGGCTTTTTCTGCTCTTGTTCGGCTGGTGTTGATTGCAGCTTTCTTGTTACTTCTTTATTGAATTTTTTCAAGAGTACCAACAGAGATCCATTCTTTGTGATGGTACTTCTTGTGGCCCGCAACCTCCTGAAACTTTGAAGCGATTGTCTCCTTTATTCCTTTCTAATTGTTCTTCATGATAGTTTCCTTTCCATTGAATAGATCGTGCAAGGCCTGAAACCTGTTGCTGAGGGCTATCTTGAATTCTCTCCGTCCCGTGGTCCAGTGTTTCCCGAGTTTCAGTTTCGTTTTGGCGACCAGCAAGTGGTGATCTGAGGTTATATCAGCTCCTCTCTTGGTTCTCGCGTCCTCCATGGTCCTTCTGAACTTTTGATTGATACATATATGATTAATTCGGTTCGGAATAGTGTTATCCGGTGAAATCCATGTAGCATTGTGTATGCATTTGTGTGGGAATATTTTGCCGCCGATGACCAGTTTGTTGAAGGTACATAGGTTTGCGAATCCCGCACTGTTTTCCATTCTTCCTCCCAGTCCATGTCGTCCCATGATTTCTTCCTACATGGTGTTGTCCTGGCCAATCTTGGTATTTAGGTGTCACACCAGAATCGTCAAATACTTTGATGAGCATCTCTAGACGATTGACCGCAGCCTCTTGTGGAATTGATTTTTAACGTCTTCATTGTAGTCGTTTGTAGGCGCATAGCATTGAATGGCGTTCATTGTAATGCCCTCTCTCTTTGTTTTGAAGGATGCTTTGATGATCCTGGGTTCATGAGATTCCCATGCTATCAGTGCATTTTGTGCTTGTTTGGACAGCATTAGTGCAACTCCTTGTGTATGTGAGGCATTTTCTTCTCAATGGTCGGAGTATAACAGCAGCTCTCTTGAAGCAGGTCTCAGTTGTTCAACCTGCGTCCGATGTGTTCTGATGGTTCCAACCACCTCCATATTTTATCTTTTCATCTCTGCAGCAATTGGGGACTGTCTTTCTGTCTCCCACATTGTTCGAATAGTCCATGTACCTAGAAGAAAGGTTGCTCTGGTTGTGAGAAGGGGCATCAGCCTTGTGACTTCTGAAGGAATTCGGCTTTCATCGTGAGACGTCATAACTCTTCGGAAAGAAGATCTAACTCCTAAGACAGAGTTGAAATAGTTTGAATTATTTTTGTGTGATTAGCTTTTTTAGCGAGTTAGTTTTCTACCGGATGGGGTCGCTAACCCCAAACCCAACCCTCCTCTCTTATCCGGGCTTGGGACCGGCAGTAACATCAGAGGGGCTGTAGGCGGAGTTACATTTACGTGCTACCACTTATTATTCAGTCACTCACTCTCTGGTGAGACTGTCTATCGTTTGTTTGGTGGGTTCTATTAATTATTAATTATTAACAGTACACACTATCCCCAAAACTGGCGTTCTGGTTTCGAAATATTCTCGAGTAAATTCACGGTTATACTAGGAGAATTGACTTACTAAAGCACACCGTTAATAGGACAATATATCAGAGTAATAAATGTAGAGAAAATGACCTCGACGTATCTAGTATTTTGCAACTATTTAGTCTGTACAGGTTTTTTTCAGAAATCTACCACAGGTTTCTGTAGTATTCATTCACGTTTATATGCAGTAGAATATAATAGCGGTGAATGTATGCAACTTTTACGCGGACTACAATTTCCAAACATGTCTAGTAAATGTTGAGGATGTTTAAAGTTTCTTAAGATTCCCTATGACTGGTTATTTCTGTATTTCATTCTGTATTTAGTTAGAAAAATTCCTAGTTATTGGCAGAGTTTTAATGCGATTGTTGTTTTAATTCTCATTTGGTAGTACGAAATAAATGGCAATTGTAAAATGAGGCCCGACCGTAGCTGCTACCTTGACGTGGTGGTCGGGCCTGTCTATCGTGATAGCCCAACCTAGCTATATTGGCTGGAAGATATGTTCCTGAAGGTTCTGCCGTGCCAAGTAGGTCGATTGGAGAACGATGAGACTAAAAGCAGCTACCCAAGGTCTGAGGGCGAAGTCGCACTGCTGGCTGCAGAGGGGTGTGACAGCAGTAAGGTGTTTCCCTCGGACAACCAGCATCTGTAGCCATGCTGCCTTCTCACAAGGGTTAGAAAAGGTCGACCCTAAAACTGTCACACCTCACCCTACCTCCCGGATTTCCATCTCCGGTTGCAAGGTCTTCTGAAGAGGGAAGCTAACACTTTACCGAATTCCCACGAAATGGCCGTGTGTGACCGGCCTCAAGCAGTTGTCTCCCAGGTCTCTACACCGGGAAGAGAAATCCTCCCTCAACCTTGTAACACCATTTAAGACCAATTCGGTCTTGATGAAATCCCTCCTAAACCTCTTGATAACTCCTACCTCCATGACTTAACCTTCTCATATTCTGTTATCACCTGGCGTCGCTGATGCAAACGAATCGAGTTCACGAAACGTCATTCCTGGTCTTCTGAAATCCCGCTCTAAACTACATATTGGAGCTGTTAATGTTCAACCTTGTGCCAAATAAGAAAATAGACTTCGCTAGCTAGGACTCTGGAATCTTGTGCAATCGATGTATGCTGCGTCTCCGAAACATGCATACAGGATCCTAGTAAAATTATTCATTTGACCTCACTTAGTCAAGATAAACAACCTTTGCAATAACTACTGAATACGTGAATTAATTTTTCTTTGTGTTTACTGTTCTGTAAACTTTTCCGTGATTCGTGAACTATTATCTTTTTTGCCTTCTCTAAATTACTGTTAATTTATTACGAACTTAATAATCGGTTCTCTCCCACTTACGGAGTAGCTATTTTGATACTATAATTCCTAATTATATTGATGTGTAGTCGAAATTTCACTGTCTATGAATAAACGAGTCGAAAATTGTCCACTTACTGTGTTGTGTTTTATTCTGGCTATCGGGCGAATGCGCGCACTTAAATCACACTGTGGATCGTTAAGTATTGTTTTCGTCTCTGATCTCACTATTATTGTATCACTAGTGCTGTATAGACGATCTAGGGGAAATGATCATTTACTGGACTAGATCACACTGAGAAGACTGAGGCAGGTGAAGAAGATGTATTATGCCAACTTACACTGAGTCAGTTAAAAACGAAAACATTACATTGAATACTCTCAGTCAGTCAGTTGCAACGTAGAACTTCGTACGTAAGTACATCAGTTCATGTCGCCATACCACATCAGCACAGAGATATAATTGTCAATTCAAATCGAATAGTAGAAGAGGTAGTAAAGGTATTAGAAGTAATCGGAGAGGTTAGAATTATTATTCACGAAGTATGATTCAATGAGATAAGTTTAGAAAGTAAAAACTGGAGGTGATGAAGAACCCAGAAGATTAGGATTTGAGAGAACACAAAGAATAAATGCACTGGCGCCATTGCGAACGATTTTGAGCCATGTCATTCAAGGTCTCTAGCCATCAATTATTATCATCTCGCGGACCACAACCAGGTAGTCGACAATTACCGACGTGGCTAAGTCCACTAGTCAATGACTTCATGGATTTATGCCATGTTTTGGTCTGGCCGCCCCTAGCTTTCTTCCAACCTATTCCTACACTACAAAACAAAGCTCGACGAGGCAGTCGCTGGTTAGGCATACGCAACACGTGTCCCAACCACCTCAACTGATGAAGTTTCATCGATTGATCTGCCATTCTTACCTAGTACCCGTTTCCTAATAACAGCGTTGCTCACTCGGGTGTCCCACGATATACGAGCAATGCTTCGAAGACACCTATGATCGAAAACCAATAACCGACGAGTATCTTCTACTCTCATTGGCCATGTTTCACAGCCATAAAGTAAGACGGAGCGAACTACTGCGCAGTACACTCGTACTTTAGTCAGCAAACGGATATCTCGCCTACGCCATAAGTGACACAGGTTGGCAAAAGCCAATCGAGCCTTCTGTATCCGTGCTGAGATTTCGTCAGTCACCAGGCCACCAGCACTGATGAGACTCCCAAGATAAGTGAAGCGGTCTACACGTTCGACCACTTCACTCCCTATCACTAGTTCAGGTGCCGATGAAACCCAATCTTGAAGCAACATTTTGCATTTCGACGTGGGAAAACCGCATCCCAAACATGCTTGCATTGTTGCTTAGGGTAGTCAGAAGACTGTGCATTTTGTCAGCGTCTTCACCAAGTAGGACAATGTCATCGGCATATTCTAAGTGAATAAGCGAGCCACCTGGTAAAAGGTCTACTCCAGAA